AGGGACACGTGAACGGTCGTTCACTTAGAGTTTGTATACTCTAGAGGAAATAAACTTCCTCTGCACAAGGTGCTGTGTGACCCCGTCACAGCGAGAGTTTATTTTCTCCTCGGCGCCTGCAAATTTACAAGTAGAGCTTCATAAGGCAGGGAAAGCAAAACGATCCCAAGCATTGACCAAGGTTCGACAATGCGCCCTTCGATACGAGGATAGCAAAAAGCTGAAACCCCCTCAGCTAACAGAAATCGGTATCCTTCTCAGAGCACCTTACTCTTTCGATTCTGCTGGCAAGATGGTACGACCTAAAGGTGTACTGTGTTAATTATCGATGTTTTCTCACCGTCATTTTGAATGTGCCATTTACAGGTAGATGCCATGATGTTAGCAGCGGTCAAGGATCTCCCTGTCAATTCAATTGTTGCTAAGCCATCCAGCGAGGAAGTGGCCGTTCCTGAAGTGCTAATCCCAACGAAAGTTTGCAGCTCAGCGATTGTCAATGGGATGGCATCGGCACGGTGACTGCGGATCATTTGCAAAGTATGATTTTGTTGGATGAGGCAAGATCAGCACTTCATGCTATTGAAGCAACGTTACGATGGATTGATGACCTGAACTATCAAGTGCTAGGATAGAAACCGCCCTTCAAAGATTGCGTCTGGTTCACAAAGGTTTGTTCATATCGATGCACAGCCAAAGAGGGGAGCCAAAGCAACATCCGCTGTAGTATTTCTCGAGTATTGCTCATGCCCAGTGTGAATCAGCTCGTGTCCGGCGCAAAACAACATTGTCGTCCGGTACAATTTTGCGACCGTCCGGTACAACTTTGTGAGTGTTCGGTGCAACTTTGTGAGTGTCCGGTACAACTTTGTGAGTGTCCGGTACAACTTTGTGAGAGTCCGGTGCAACTTTGTGAGCGTCCGGTGCAATTTGTGAGAGTCTGGTGCAAATTTGTGGACAAGAGTTCATGTCCGGTACAATTTTAAACTGGCGTCAGCTCATTTTGCTGGAGAAATACTACTGGATAATAGTGCTGTCTGGCGCTGCTTATGCTGGTATTTGAGTTTGGAAACAATACTTATTCTGACGATATATCTTGGATTTTATGTATGTAACAGGATCAATTTAGGAACTCTGTCAAGAGCATGGTGTTATCTTCCTACTCTGGTGGAGGCGAGGTCATTACGGGGGCCAAATTGCTACGATTTCGTTCCACGCAATGGCTGGATACAACCTGCATGATGGCAGCACTACTTTTTCTTGCTAAAAGATACGCTAAGTTTGGTGTTGGAGTCGTGGGACCTGGATGGTACAACTATATGGGAGTGGGGGAACAAATCAAAGATGCGGGGTCAAACGGAGCTTTCAACAAGCTAAACAATCGCGTCGTTGGAGTTGTTAATCTTCGGGGAAGTTATCACTGGTTGGCCTATCACATTTCGGTTGGATCTTCGGGTAAAATCGTTTGCCACCTATTTGACCCTAGTCAAAACTGCGATCGCTACAAAACTCTAAAAGTACCAGATCGAGACAGTGATTGTTCCAACATATCAAGCACGCTTTGAAAACGCGGATGTGGAGTTTATTCGGTGGCATCATTGCAAGCAACAGGACGGGCATTCTTGCGGTGTCTGGAGTCTATTTTTCCTCGAATCCATGCTCTCGTCCCACGAATGGTGTGACGAATGTTACACCATGGAGCAGTTTTATCGTTTGAGACTACTTCATCACTGTTCCCGACCACTAGACTTTGATGATACATGCTAATACATGCTACGTAGTACACAATTGCATTTACCGTTGCTCTTTCAGTTTACAATGTGCGACGAACACATAGAAAGGTGTAGTGGTCAAACAAGAAATGACGATTGTCCGGCAGCATTGCATTTTGCACAACTTACTCACACCTCAGACGAAACAACATTAACATTGTAAACGGTAAGTCAATCAATTTGTACACTTCTGCAAGAAGTGCACCAAACTAATGGACTATTTAATTTTTGTGACCATCAAAAATACATATGACCTTTTGGATTGTTCTGGAATTCCATAAGATCGTTTATTAGCTACCATAGACCTGCATACATCATCAACTTCCGTCCGGTGCAGTTACAGTACAGTCGTGCACCTCCAATTCGGCAGGGCGGACCATATTAACAGTGCCAGGGCATAAGTACACAACGTAAAGCATAAAACAAACGCAAATCCAGTGCACTGATATTTATTTTGTTAATTCAGTAGAAAATTTACGTTTAGTTTTGAGACGATGCCTGTGTGGCACCAACAATTTCTAATAGTCTTTGCAGATATGTTGTTCCAGCCTTCAGATAATCACTTCATGGCGGAGTAAACGTCGACCGGTGTGTAAGGAACACCCTTGTAGAACAGGTCCAGCTCAGCAGCTTGCTTCTTGTTCTGGTACTCATTCTTCAGGCACTTAATGATGACCTGGTCCATGGGCTGGAGTACGGCAGTTGTATTGGGCGGGAGCTTGCGAATAGCAACATTGGATAGCTCAATAGGAGCGTCGTTGTGCGACGAAGCATTGTCAACAAGTAGTAGTACTTGTCGTTCTTCCAGCTGCATACGTTCATTTAGCGACAAGAGCCAATCACAGTACTTATCCGTATTCATCCACGCCTTCGCCGTATTAGTGTAGGTCGCTCCAATTTCGGCTAGAAGGTTGCGATTTTTTACGGGTCGCGGCACTTTAGACCGCCCAATGAAGTGCAGCGGAAGCTGCTCCGTGCCATGGGCGTTGGTGGCAACGCACACGGTGATCCGGTGCTTGCTCTGCTTCTTGTTCACGGTTAGTGATCCTCGCGGTTCCCGGCGGTAGAAGAATGCGGTCTCATCTATATTGAAGACGTCCCGGGGGTGGTATTCTGAAACGAGGGCTCGAAGTTCTTTAAGCCCCTCTTCTACAGCTGCGTTATCCACCGAGGCCCTCTCCCATGTCGTAGCGAAAACCACAGCCCTGTGCGCTGCTGGAAGCGGTACAGCCACCTCGACCAGGTGGATTGCCTCCGGGCAGCTTTACCCCTTCACGCCGTGCAATCATGAGTACCGTAGAGCCCTGAATAGTTGCGTTTCCGTGCCAAGACTTGAATTCGTCGATCTTCTGCATAATCTTGACGTCAGACGCGCGAATCGCTGGCGCGCAACAGCGCTTCCGGTCGCGATGGGCGTCCGACAAGGCGGCAACGTCCGCCGACCGCTTGAGAATACTCTGGGCGGTAGTGCGCTTTACTGCTTGGGGGGGCCTTAAAACGCTCCGTTGCCCAACGAGCAAGTTCTGAGTGAGAGAGCGCAGGATCTGACTTGTACTTCTCGCTCAAAGACTGCTTTTGTGCTAGAGTTAGCGACATGTAGAAGGAAGGGCGATATCCCATTGTTTTTGGTGGTAAAAAATAAAGTGTTTATTTGTATGAAGACGTTCGCTCCAAAATTCAAAATCAGATCGATGCGGCGTGTCATTCCTCCCCAAGGAGGGGAAAACCGTTGAGGTTAATTGCCAGGGTGCTGATGGGCATTGGTAATTGCGCATCCGATTCGCGTAATCATAAAATCTGGCAGGGTATCGACTGATACCGGTGCCGAATTGGAGGTGCACGACTGTATCACCAGCCGATTTTACGCGGTCAATTCAGTGCTGAAACTGATTGTGGCGAACGTGCGAACATTGAATTGATTGTGGCGAACCCCTGCATTGTTTTAGGGCACTCGTTATTTAGACAGACTGGGTAACAAGCGACAGTGCATTTTTACCTAATTATAACCAACTGGAGTGCCCGAATATGCCAGACTAGCAAAGAGCCGGACATGTCATCACTCGTTGTGTCCCCGAAAGTATACGTATAACCGGAAGTTTCTGGTGAGCTCTTAGCGTTTAACTCACATGACACGAGGCTAGCGCTTCGAGAAGCGCACTCACGTGGCATAATGTAGTGAACAAGACACATAGATAGAAAACGTAGCGACATGCAACCATTTAATGATCAAAAACACTGGCAACTTGTTGTGTTAAATGCACATGCCAAGGTATCGATAGCGAAGGTACTGAAGCTCCTTTCTACTCAGTAGACTGAGAGTATTGGCGCCAGCAAAAACCTCAAAAGCTAACAGCATATACATGCCACAATTGTAGCTGTCGACCTGCACTCCAAGCTCACTAAGATACAGTCGAACTCGGTACTTTCTTGGAGCAAAATCTGGCAGCATTGTCACCAACTTGTCAGCGAGGGGTCGAACTTTTGATCCATAGCTTGAATTCATCGGATCGTAGATTAACACGTCCTTGCATGTCAGGTCTATCATGATTGAACACCAGTGGTTCTTGCCGCAAATTACTGGAATTAAAATCTTCTCACCCGTCGCCCCAAGTAGCACACTCTTCATTGTATCCACCGGCAAGAAGCCATTCATAACGTTCCCTGCGATGGAGGTATCAATACCAATCGTATCGACCCTTTCCGCGAATAGCTTCAACATTAGCGTATTAACGGTGCCGTCGCCCAGTGTTGACTTGCCCACAAGTTCCAGCGCTTCTGCCTACGTTAAATTCGACATATACGTGTTAATAAGTCCACTGTAGCAATGAGTCCGAGTAGTCTGATTTTACTGTACCTGCACCGACAGAAGTGGGATCGCCTTCAGTTTAGGTATCATATCAGGATCTGATTCAGCGCGAAAGGCTTGGGGCATCGGTAGCGTGAAATCAATCGTTTCAATCCAGCTAATAGCTTTCTCCACATACTGTATGCTCTTCATTGCTCTGTGCCACTTTTTCATCACACCCAAAGTCTCTGTGGCATACGTGCCAATGCCAATTAGTTCCACCGCAATGTCTTGCTCGGCTAGATTCTGGTCAGATGAATCTCTGTGCTTTTTTTTGAAGTGTCGAAACTTTGGCGTTGCACCTCTCAATGAGGTCTTTTGGGAAAATTCGCGTGATGGATCGCACAGGGGTGATGTTTTTCGCGGGAGGTAGGCTTAACTTGTTGTGGGCAACTGGGGCTCTGGGTTTTTTGCTGAACTCAAAAAGCTTGAAGCGCGATAGAATCGCGGCGGATTCTTTGTATGTGGGCTCGCCTTCTACAGCATCTTGTACGTTTGCTAGACTCAGATTAGCCGCATACAAATTTGAGTCGTCTTGGACCGTCTGGACATTTTTGCGGCGAGCTTCTTTCTTGGATCTTGCTGCTTGCTTGGGACGCCCGCGAGATCTAGGTGGGCTCGCAACCTCAAATACATCGTTTGCCTGTGGTAGTGTTGCCAGTGCAATTTGGGGCTCAAATCCAGATTGGGTGCCCGACTCGCCAGACTGGGTTCCCGACTCACCAGATTGGGTGCCCGACTCGCCAGACTGGGTTCCCGATTCGCCAGATTGGCTTACAGGCTCGACAGATTGGCTGCCCGTCCCGACGGATAGGCTGTTCGAATCCACTGGCGCATTCTCGCTGACTACATCCGCTCCCGCTCCGTGAGGTTGATCTCGTTCCAGCTGCGTGGGAGGCAGTGTCAATTCTGACTGCTGTTCCTCTGGTGGTAAATAAGAGGAAGAGATGTTATATTCTCCGTTCTTGAATCGACGTGCAACGTACTTCAGGTAAGCCATCGCTGTGAGTGTTTTTTGTTAATCTCTTGAACGCACAAATTAATCTGTAAGCGAAATACAAGACAAAAAATGTAAATATATCAGCAACCGTGGAAAACTGTAACTATCTAATGAGCCCGATCTTGCCCGATTGAGTTTGGCATGACCCGATTGAGTGTGGCTAAACCAGAACCAACCCGACTTGTGCACACCAAGAGTGCAAAAGTTACAACATACCTGGGCAGAGCATCCCGAGGCCCGAGTCTCCTGTCGAGGACGTTTACTTGTGGCTTGTGATTGATACTTACCATAATGCGTACAAACGTAGGTTTTTGCGTAATTCTCCCACTCGGCGGAGTGCTTGGACGCTGAAGAGCCTTGGGCATCTATCCTGCCATTGCGCACGGCGACAGAGGTGTTGGTCCGCACCCGGAAGATCTGGTAAGCAGAGGATGTGACCTTAAGTATTATCTAATAAAGTAAGATCTTGATAACGTACTTGAAACAACTGGGCTTGGTACTTCGCTAGGTAAATTTCGAACTCTTCCCACGAGCGAAACTGCGTCTCTCCCGGCGGCGGGGCGATGACGCAAATTTGACCGGACTCCTCGCTTGCGCTACTTGTGGTCCCTGTCATCTCCACACGAGGCGGGCTTGGCGACGGCTGCCACTCACTTGATGAGCCGTCGGATGCGTTGCTGTCGTTGTCGACGTCGATGTCGTCCGCCGACAGGGGGCGCTTTTGAGCGTTGCGCAGCCGCGGCGGCATCTTGCTTCCTCAGGAGCCACGCGTTTTCTGGAGGGGGAGAGGATTTTTGTGGTTGACGGGTATACGGCCTGTATACGCTTTACCCAGTACGGATATGGTAGAATATAGCAAATCGGAAGATAATGAAGGATTTGCTGGGAGTGGAGTGCTCCCAGTCTGTCAAAATACTCACTTCCTTGTTTTAGTTCTCTTTCCTGTACATTGCCAGTTTTTTGTGTTGCAATCATTCCTCTTCAAGAATTCTGCTTGGCCAATCAACGATGCGTTACCATCGAGCTTCCATGAAAATGATGCTGAAGCTCTCTCACCAGCCGAACACAACTCGATAGCCTGATTTCTAAACATGTACCTGCGCTCAGACCCGCTGAATGAGACGCTGCCTTTAACGCATGGACTGCGCTCCCGCCAGACGCAGCCAGTCGCGGGGCGATCGCGACGCCTATTGTCGCCCGCTGCGCGGCGCTTCATCCGCTATGGCGTTGCCTGCCTCCTGTTCCTGGCCGTGGGGGACCTCATGGTGACGCTGCAACGCTCACTGCAGACGGAGAACCTCATTCGCACAGGCCAGCACAGAGTTGAGCCCACAGTCATGGAAGATTCGGCCGACGCTGAGGCACCCGATCTGACCACCGTGTCATTCCCAGGCTCCGCGGACGAGATCCTGACGCTCCCTGGAAAGCCCAACGAATACACGGCTCGACTCTTCTCGGGCTACTTACCACTGAACAACGGCGGTCACGCTTTCTACTTCCTTGCCGAGTCTCAGAGCTCCACGGCCCAAACGGATCCCGTACTGCTTTGGCTCAACGGTGGGCCGGGGTCCAGCTCCCTCATGGGCTGCTTCTCAGAGAACGGACCGCTGCTAGTCAACGAGGACGGGAAGACGCTTAGAGTGAACAAGTTCGCGTGGAACCTGAAGGCAAACCTACTGTGCATCGAGTCACCCGTAGGGGTTGGCTTCAGCTACAATTCCAGTGGAGTGTACGAAGCAGACGATCGCTCTCAGGCTCAAGATCTGTACGACGGGCTTCAGAAATTCTTCGGCAAATTCCCTTGGCTTAGAGATAATGACTTTGTCGTCTCTGGTGAGAGCTATGGAGGAATTTATGTGCCGACCACGGCACTTGCCATTCTGAACGGTAATGCGGCGACATCGGATCAGTCGCAGCATATCAACCTGAAGAAGTTCGTGGTTGGAAACGGCGTGAACGAGTACTTGGGACTCTCGACAGTTATGTTCGCATATTACCATGGCTTGTTGAGCACAGAATTGTACAAGAAATTCCGAGCTAGCTGTCCTGATCTCCACGAGTTCGAAAAAGGCCCTCTCGTCGCGCCGGGCTTCAGCCCTGCTAGCCCAGAATGCACTTCGGCCACTATGGACATCTACACAACCTTGGTCTATGATCGCATCAATATGTACGACGTGTACGGGTCGTGTGCCGGATCACCCAAGGAAGATATTCAGCGTCTCGTGAAGGAGCTTCTGACACCATCGACTCCTGGGAAGCTGCCACATCCGATTGGAAACACGTTGGACATGTGCTTGGATAATAAGCGTCTGGACTCGTACTTTAACCTCGCTGAAGTCCGTGACGCGATGCACGCAAATCCGACGCTGGCGCATTGGAGTGCTAGCGCACTCACCAGTACTGCCATGGATATGCTTAGCACAATTCTAGGAGTCGATCATCCGATGCTGCAACACCCGCAGCTGCTTAAGTACACACCTTCACTTCACAGCGAAGTGACCCCCTTATGGCGTCAGCTTCTTGAAAAAGGAGTGAACGGTGTCATCTATCACGGTGACTCTGACTTGGTCTGCAATGCTTTGGGTGGGCTATGGGCGGTGGAGTCATTGCGTCTCCCCCGCCTGGCACCACGCGCTGCCTGGACTTACATGGACGGAAACTCGAAACAAACCGGAGGCTTTGTGGAGACTTTCAGGGGGATCTCGTATGTGACTGTAAAGGGGGCGGGTCATCTTGTGCCACTGTCGCAACCCGAGGAGGCCAAGCAAATGCTTGATTTGTTTGTCCTCAACGACTTAAAGTAGGTGCGGGTTAGTGCCAACCATGTTCAAAAGAAACAAAACCCACATAATTTTGGTGTCTGGAAGAAAAACACAACCGTTTGATTTTGATTTTTTGGTTGCCATTTTACTCGCATTTTTGTGTGGATATTTGCCTAAGCTTATCTTATCACGCACTTGAAGAAATATGGGGTTCTCAAATAATGTCGCCACCAAAAATGAACCGCAAGATTCGAAGGTAAGTCGGCTTGAAATAACGCGCCGGGGTTGACATGATGAGGGACATGGAAAGGCAGAATAGCACGACCTCACTGTGTTTCACGTAACGCACAAGACCGCGGCGTTTTAAAACTTGCCACACGATGTCAAGTGCGCGTGGGAAGCAATACAACATCAGCTCAAAGCGGCGCTTGGTATGCTCGAAGAAGAGAGCTCCACCCGTTGCGATCTGATAAATACACCGGCGTTAGAAAAGCTGGATCGGAGCACGGAAAAGGAAGTATTTAACGTACTCCAGCAACCAGTGATGTTGCAGCGAAGTCTCGGTGGAAAGCATTGCGAGCCGTGCAAACGACAAGTTTTACCACCGTCTGAATAATGGTTAGTACAGTTAGCAACTTTCACGCTAATTGCCAGTTAGCCATACAGCACACGAACCTGGTACGATGTGAGAAATGCCGAAGAGCAAAGGGCTGCATAGGAGATCCGCGCAGTTGTAGACACCGGAGCTCCCTGCAGCTGCTGGAAGCGAAAGAACATCGCCGGGAGGAAGTGTACAGGAAGGTAGATTTGCATTGACCTTCCCAGGCCGTTAATCCATTCCTTGATGGCGTGCGTCACACACGACTCCCTGATCACACAAAAGGTAAGAGCACGTCGCTTTACACAATACTTTTTCCGCAACATCAGCGTACATGTGGTAGTGTGGTTGGCACAAGCGGAACGGAAGCGGGTTTCCGTGCGTATCAAGTTGACCACGCATACGCTGACGAATGGTGTATTCCAGCCCGTGGTGGTTCACGGCACCAATTCGACAAATCCAATGGTAATAACCCTGGACAAAAATTATCCATGAGAAAAAGGAGTCAACTTACGTAGCCCCCATTATGATAGCATACCTTTGGTAACAGACTCGGGTCCACAACAAATGCATACATGATAGCAGCATTGCTCAAGGCAAAGAGCATTTCCGACGAGTATCGCCACGTCGGTAAGACTCCAATCGACATCAAATGGCGACACACCACATCCAACATTCGCACAAAGATATATAGCGAGATGGTGTTGCGCCTTGAAGGCGAATCTAACAGCAACGCTGAGCCGGAGACTGCCCCAGCGATAGCCAAATTGATGGCATCTCTTTCGCCACCTCGAGCTGCTCGTGTCACGAGTTCCGTAACTCGAAAGATGCCCACCAAACTCCCGAAGAAAACACCAAAGCGGAGCGTATCCCCTTTCAACAGCAGTCTGGCTGCATCAGCATAGCCGTATTCTAGACTGCTCCATTTCCTCGAGGCCAATAACACAGCAGTGAAGGCTTTGGCTCCATAGGCTAGCAAAAAAGCTCTGGCCGCCGCCTGACACGCCGCCTCCAGATCTTTCTTGACGCTAATCCAGTTCATCACCATCTTTTCCACCTCCTGGCGTCTAGCGGCTGCATGTCGCTTAGTCTCGTGGGTCGATTCGTCCTTCGCATCAGGCCGTCGTCTGCCACTGTCGCCTCCAGGACGCAGCAGTGGTGGCTGCCTCTGCGACTTCTGCGTCTCGTTATGCAGTTCGAGTGCCGCGGCCGTAAGCTCTGGTGGCTCACGGCGCCGCTCCGTCGTAAAGAAGGCCGAGTAGATGCGCTCCATCGCCGCGTTGGGCTGACCCGGACTGCGTCGACTGGTGACGAGCTTGAAGCTGGGGAAGGTACGAAACCTAAAAATACCGGTATTATACTGATATTTCCGATATTGTTGAAGCAACAAGTGGGTCCACTGGAGGACATCTTCGGTGCAAATCTCGATGGAGAAAAGATCTTCGACGAAGCCAATGGAGACTGTGACGTTACCATGGTAACCATGGATCATCTATTGTTATGGATATCGCGGACTTGATCGAACCACGTTTACCCACTACGTATATTTCTCCGCTAACTTCGACGGTCATAAATTCCTCACTTCCGGATCCTACACGTGAAGCATCGCAGCGCATCCATCTCTTTGCTATGAGAGGGTTTCTTGTCATGAGAATTCTTCCTAAAGTACTACAGTATTCATTTTCCAATTGCTAAGAGACGTCAACAACAGCCATCCCGGACTACATCAGCCGCGGGTTCCGGCCAAATGGAATACCACCGCCCCCACTCATCAACCCCTTTGACGTCGATGTACTGAGATTCGCGTTGTATCGACTTCGATTGGTATTCTCATTCTCACTTGGCGCAAACCTATCCAAAGGTAGCGCATGTAGCTTGCATAGCACACACGGAGCGTCCTGACAACTTATCTGGTGCAAGCGGCACCAGTCGCTATCCGCCACAGCAAACTTATCGCAAAAATCGTGACGACATTTTCGAGCCATGACGTGGTTCGCACAGCCACTGTAATTTCGCTCAGCGCTGTACATGCAACCTTCGAATGCGCATTGCTGCCGAAACGCGTGAAACTCGCAGAACTGTTGGTAACCCACAAGGTTTTCGCATCCTGGCTGCCAGCAGAACGTGGCTTTGGAGTGTGCTAAGCACAATAGAGTACCACCGCAAGCGATTTGTGAGCAACTTGGAAACTGGCAGTTTATGGTGGGCTGAGAATATTCTGTCTGCGGCACTCCAGGCATATAGTTACTCAACGGCCCACTCGATGAAGCTTCTGTCTGCAACTTGCCAGTAGGAACAACCTCTTGCAGACGATAGTGACGCTTGCAAAGGTTTCGCTTCTGAGCCTGCTTGCCGCACCCATCAACTCTGCAGTAATATTTCCTCGTCTTACCAGACGCCGAGGGACTCGCTTGTTTTGCTTCGGCCGCTGCAGCAGCGACTGCTGCCGCTTCTGCCAACTCCTGTTCACGTTGCAATTGTTGCGCCTGAGAATCCAATTTCAGATTGTCCACAGATAACGACCCTGTTCTAAACGCTCGAAGATGCGCTGAACACAATCCACCGCGGACAGAATCTTGGCCGCAATTGCTCACGCGACACAATAAAACCTTTCCATCGGGTTGACTGACACCAACACTCGTAGGATTAAGCGGATATCCAGAAGGGCTGGAATTTATCGACACCACAAGCGGCGAGAAAAGTCGTTGACACGCTTCGCAATAATCGCGGTCATAACTTTCTCGATCGCACATAGGATTCGAGCACTTCGTGTGGCTAATGTTTGTCGTCGATGTCATGTCCGCTGAAAACGGGACACTGCTGGTTTGTGGTTTGTCGTTCAAAACGAATACGCCGGGTTTTGCTTCACTATCAACGTCATCCGAAAAGATGCTACTATTCTCCCCGGACGAGAACGGCTCTCCATAGCGGCTTTGATTCTGAGTCAAACTCTGGATTTCTTTGGTATGTTCCACACACAATCCAGCAGAGTACGACAGATTTCCACAGCCTGGCTTACTGCAGCGAGCCCCCTCAATAACTCGATCATCGCTCGCGTCTCGGTTCCGTGCTCTTGGTTTACCTGAGTCATCTCTGCGTTTTGATGTCGAAGTCGACGTTGAATCATCCTTTTGCAAATGGTGTTTTTCATAGTAGTGCGTCGTGCACAGTCGATCTCGCTGTGAGTTTTTCGAGCAATTCTCGTGTGTGCATCGACGTATATCTTTCTGCATCCTGGCTAGAATTTCCTCGTAACTTTCAGTGGTTCCAGGTCGATCTGCCAGCTCCTGAGCTTGTTTTATGATTAGATTTCCGTGGGTTCGGCACAAGTGATGTCGTTGAGAATGCTTGTTACAGTCAGGATAGCTACACATAGTGTACGCACTGTTGAGGCGGCGCTTATTGATGTGCGGTGGCAAGCGTCCAGTAGCCATCAACAATTTCTCATGGCCACGGCAGTAACCGCGGCCTTGGTCGTTCTTAAAGCACCCCGACATTTTGCATACAGGCACATTCTGCGGGCGCGCCTTCAAGATCTCCTGCAGCGCCTCTTTACCTTGCTCCATATGTGTTGCGCACATTGCAGCTCTCTCCATTGCCTTGTCCCGACAACCAGGAAAGCCACAGGGAGCAACAATCACGTGTCGGTTGCAGAATTTGCCGTACGATTGAGACACTCGAGCTCGATTCGGGCAGTCGGGAAACTGGCACCTCTCGCTCCTGTCTTTGGCGAGTGTTTCAGTCCGCAGATCGAGTTCGTTAGACTCGCTGAATTGGGTGTATGCGGCATCTACTTGAGCTTCGGTGTCAGCATCAGACGAAGGTCGAGTGGATCCTGTTGACTTCCTGTTCGTCGCCAAACGAGACTGTTTCGATTCTGTGGGCGTAGCTGGTGGCCTCGAATGCGCCGAAGCCGCTGCTATGGGTGGGTTCCACGCCCTTGAGTCCCCCGTTGAAGCTCCACCTGATCCTACCACACCGTCATGGAAAGAGTTCACGTCGAAACTGGTCACGCTCATCTCGGACACTGCGTCGGACGGTGTTCTGCCGGACGTCGCAGTTTCATTGCCGCCTTGGGCGGTGTCGGGGTCTAGAATGCCTCCAAACTCCCCCAAGTCCATGCTGCTGCCGTGGCGTCTCTGTTTCGAATAGCTCGGCGCGTCAATGCCCTGCCAGTAGCGTCCTTGTTGTGGCAGCTGATGCGTCGGCTGCTGGTAGCTTCGCATGGAGGGCTCCATCGGGAGCGGATACTGCGGAAAGCTTGTCGTTTCCGGCTGTGAATGTGGTGGCTGGTGGTAGGGATCTCCTGGCTGGGGCGGGAATGGCATCATTAGCGAGCGTCGCGGCATCCCGCCGCTTCCGCCGGGGTTCTGCTGCATCTTGTAGCTATTGGCAGACGTCGAGCTGCGAACAAGCACGTTGCACGGATACGAGGAGTCTGAGACTGGACAAGAACGACCGAGTGGGGTTCGAGGCGGCGAGTGGCGCGTATGGGTGGAGACTGTGGATGGCTGGGCTCAATTGTTTATCTTGCGTTGGGTATTGTCTGCGTTCTTCTCGCCCGGGTCGCCGGCAATTGGACAAAATCCACGCGTTCGTGGTTTCAACCTGCGTTCGATGTTTCAACCTGCTGTAAAGAAGCCGCACGTTACCGAGGAAGTGAATTGACGGCCAAAATTCACACACTCGCCGAATAGCGCCGATAACTGCTTGCGTTTAGTGCGATTCAACCTCGATTAACATACTCGGAGATAGATTGAGTAGACTTTTTCCATTGCTGATACATTTGCCACCCGGACACGAAAAAAAAATCGAAGCCTCTGGGGATTGGGCCAGAAGGAGTATGATCGGTGACTGTCTCCAGTGACCTCCACGTCTCTTGTGCAGGTCAGGGAACAATCCAGAGCCTCGGAATGCCCATGTCAACCGTGTTACCTACATCCTTCCAAGATGCAGGTGGCTGTACGAAGCGCGATATATCGACATTGGTCGACTCAGATTAGCGCATTTTACGCCCAGCAGTTTTGTCTTCAGTAAACAGCATATGGTGGCTGCCGCCACATAAAGCGCGCGAAGAAAGCGGAGCATAAAACGGTTATGTGTGTCAAGTGCGAACCGATAAACTTCAACTACGGCAATTGTTCACAACTCAATCCGAGCGCTAATCTAAGCGGCTCCAGGCCATGAAAGAGGAACGTGAATCAAGTATGGAGCGCGGAGAGAAGGTATTTGCAGCGGACCGATCACTACAGGAAGAACCAACCGCAAACCTTTATCATCACCAATCTTCTTCTAAGTACGATCCATTTTCTCCAGTAAACCGGTTTCTACTAATAATAGTGACAGGTGTCACTATTCCCATTGATGTTGGCCACAGATTCGCAATGCTAATGCTGCGAACGTCGCGCCGCGCAGTGCGTCTCGTGGAGGCTCGTTTTGGCAACACGGCGGGCCTCCAAAGGCTCTCATTCGACTTCAGCAGTCGTCGCAATGCTGAATTCAATGGACCGCTTGGGATTCGCCACTTCAGCTCATCCCAGTCTGATGATGAGGCGCATAAGGCACGGGGGGAGGAAGCAGATAAGCTCACACAGGACAAAGAGTCTCTAGTTGGAGATCAAGTGTACCAGGCGCCCATGTCGCGCGCTGTGCGTCTGATGAAGGCTGTGTCGGTCACCAGCTGCACCCTCACGTCTATCGGCATGCCCGTGCTCTGTGTACTCAGTGAGCAGGACACGTCCACTGTCGGCAAGGTGAGGAGTTTATACGAAATGGATATTAGACAATATCTGTTAAGTGCTAGAGTACTGATGCCGCTTATGTTATTGTTGATGGCATGATCCTATCTAGTGGGCAATGTGCGGCACCATCATGTTGTTCGGTTTTGGCTCGACCTCGCTCTTCCACTACCTGTTCAAGCCGTACGTGATGCGGATGTGGCTGACGGATGCTTCCCAAGCTCCCACTGCGGATACGAACGATGACGCGACTGTGACGGTGGAGACCGTGACGTTGTTCGCGCAGCTGGAGCAACACTCGTTTCGACTGTCTGAGGTGTCGCCACCTACCCAAGCGATGCACCCGATGATCTCGTTCCAAGCTCGTGGCCGTCACTACTTCATCCACCCCGAGGCTTTTGATGACCAAAACCTGCTGAACAAGCTGATCGGATCAGGAAAGCGCAAGTAATTTACGTGCGCGTACTTGTTAGCGCAACGTAATGGCCCACTAGAATATACTACTTGGTACGTAATACTGTGCAGACGTGCCAATTTTACTCAATGCTTCACTCTGCTTATCTCTGGACGTTTTACCATCCACGTTTCTCAACATCTTCAATGTAGTCGTAGCTGTTCAACGCATCTTCACTGTCCACCCGGGTGTCATTTTGTAGCACGCATGGTGGATCGGCTTCTGATGCTGCCACAGCCGCTCCGTCTTCACTTTCGTCCTCCTTGTCTGAAAGATCAGGCACGGACTCCATTTCCTCGGAAATTTCGCTTTTGAAGCAGAACGTATTCGTGTGAGTATCAGCCACAACAACAAAAAGCAGCACACACAATATTTTTACCTGGCAATTTCTTCTTCCTCCTCGAAGTCACTGCTGCCGTATCCATCATCATCTTCCTCCTTCGTACCCTTGCTGGCTTCCGCTTCATCTTCTTTGCCATCTCCATCACTCTCTTCCACTTGAGCAAGCCCACCACTGCTCACGAAGCTATCTTGCTCTTGCAACTCTATTTGCAACGATGCTTTCAGTTGCTGAAGTGTCCCTGTATCATCCTCAGCCTCCATGGCTTGCAGCGCAGCATCCAGCTTTCTTAAACGCTCTGCCTCCTCCTCCTAAAGCAGGCAACAATGAAAGTTAGATTTCTAGTACGGGAAGAATCAGAGCGATATCAATGAGTGGACTTACGGCATCAAAGTCATCATCTGCATCCCCAGAGAAAGCAATATTTGGCGAAGCAACCAACGGTGGTAAAGCTGGCAGTCTTGCCGGTGCCGGAGGTGGCGCTTGCAACGACATTGCGTTGTCGTCATCACTTTCGCCATTTTCCTTTTCGTGGCTACTTTCCAGAACTTTATTGTTGTCTTCATCTTCCTTATCCAGTCGCCTCGAGTTGAAAATGGTGGATTGTTTGTTGCCCACATAACTTTCTTCTTGGCTTCTCTCATCTTCATAGTTTGTACAGTTTGACTCTTCCAGTTCTGATCCACTAGGGACCTCTTCCGCCATACTCTCTTCGATTTCTGCACTGCTTTCAGCATCTATATTCTTGGCTTCATCCTTGATTGCTGCTTTTGAAGTTTCGATCGCTTTTAAAGGCGGTTGCTGAACAACCTCCACATGTTGCTTCCAAGGTTGTGCTTTTGACTCCGGCGCATTGGGTGGTTGACGTACTTCGTCTTCATCTTCTGCATCGAAGTCATTACGCTGCGTAGTTGTCGGTGTTCTAGCAGGCATCGCACTCTGGTCTGCATTTCCCACCGTGGACTCGATGAGCTGGAAAAGTGTCGGCTTATTCGAGGAACTTGAGCTTGTCAGTCCAAGCTTCTTAGCCAGCAAAGAGCTATCTGTCGGTTCATCTTTTGCGTTGGTCTCTGCAAGCAGCACCCGTAACGCATGCTCCCAATGGAAAAACCGCATACAGTCGACAATCAGAGACAACGCAGTTGTTCTGATCTCCATTGGGAAGTCGCTCAATTTTGGAGCTTCGTTTGTTTTCACGAACCCTTCGCGTTCATGCATAACCTCAAAGACCGCGGCACGAAGTTCTGCCCTCAACTTGGCTAGCACACCTTGACTTGTCAACACCTGAGTCACTTGTTCCTTCAACGCCAGTTCCTCCGCTGTGGGCGCCGGCTGCAACGCTGGCAACATTGTTTTTATGATGTTTGTTGCAAATTGTTGCAACTACTCGATGCAAACGGTCACAGACTGGCGACCGTTTTTCCACAAGTCAAGAGTGCACGTTGCGAGTGTTTGTCACCCATAAGTTGGATACACATTTCGTTTTTTGTTTTGCTAAAGTTATCTTTTCCCATTAAATGCGTGTGCAAAATTTGCACACGCAATCTTCTGTTTTAAACATCACCTAAACTTTGTCCGAGTGTGAGTTACGATTTCGTTGCAATGAGAGCGTCGCCATCGGCGCAAATATCATCGTAGAGCCGCTCGAATCCTTGTGGCGTGAAAGGAGTGAAACCAGCAGCATACGTCCATAGACACGTACAGAGCTCGTCAACTTCGTGAGATGACGCATCCCGCTGGAGATCTTCGGTCTTGTCCTGGTGCTGCGTAACAATTCGATCGATCGCTTCACCAATTGTACTCACATACTTGAACACCTTCTCAACAACAGTCTCGTCCTTTTGGTTGCGAGACCACTCGGCCATAATTTTCATCTTTTTAAGCACTTGACGGATCTCGCGCAGCTTTTTGTTGGGTTTCCACTTCTCGTAGCATTCGTCGGTTGAGAGAAGCGGCAACGGCGTAACATCAGCCATGGAATTTGCCACCACCGCGGGAGTCTTATTGGTCTTCGTCTCACTACGGTCACTTCGTTGCTGCTCTTTCTTTCGTTTTTCTTTCTTGCTTGAGCTTTCAATGCTGTTGTTGCGGTGCTTCTTACGGGATGATGTCTGGTTTTCATCTTCCACTGATGACGATCGCCTCTTGTGTCGTGACGACGTCGACTGAGCTGGAGATGCACCTCCAATTTCGCCTTCTTCCGGTTCGTTGTCAACCACACTGACTTGCGCTGGGGATCTCATCGGCGGGGTTCTTTGTTGTCGTCCCGAATCCACTCCCTGGCCATTTGAAGGTCCTGTACCGTTGCTAGATCCAATATGACGTCGGCCCATAACATCTTCACCATTCTGTTGCCGAGCTGCGAATCGTTCAGCGGCACGGGCCATTCTACCCCCTCCTGTAACCGAGTTAGCGGGAATGCATGCTGTCACACCAGGAATGGCCCCACTGTGAATGATAGCACTGAACTGTGCACCTAACGATTGGTTCGAGTTTGCACCCGCCGAACTAAGAGAGCTCGCTTGCTGTACAATGCGCGGGTCGCCAGCATCAAGATCAGGAGCTGGCAATCGCTTCAGCAGGTTCTCCGCACGTTTCTTTAGACGCTCTCCCTTTAAAGCGCGTTGCTTCTGGAAATGAAGTAAATCGTCGTTGAGAATATCTTCCCAACCTCCAAAGCCGTGCACGTAGACGCCGAGAAGTAATGCGGCATCTTTGCATTGCGTCCAATCATGCTCCTTTTCAGCCCATGTCCAGCTAGGTAAATCTCGAGTGTTGACACCCAGAACAGACAGATCGCTCTGTTTCGCCACTAATACATACGCACCTTGAGCATTCGCTTGTGCGTTACCCGAAGTGCATCCGGCGGTACGCAACGCGCGTTGGACAGCGACACGAAGTTTCAGGTTTTCGTAAAGACGCTCGATAATCTGTGACGATCTTGCTTCAACTTCGGCAATCTTTATGTTGTCATGCGGCGGTCGTGCCTCAACCGCCTGCTTGGCTTTCTGAGCAACTTCATTAGCAAGACTATCGAGGCGGTCAATGGAAATCTTGGTGGTCGTTTGAAGGTTCGAGCGTTCAATAAAGTTGGGCATCTTGTACTCGTCTGCGAAATTGGCAGCTGTCGGATATAGACCCACATCGGTCAGGTCTCCATAACGAAGCATGGCACGCAACATCGCGCGCACCACCTTGCCATCTACTGCTGGTGCCGAGGATCTGCTAACGCTGCTACTGTACCCTTCGCCTCCAGCGTCACCTCCATGCTCGCTGCTACTGCTGTTTCCTGTCGTCATGCCTGCCGAACTTGTGGCTGTCATGGGTTTCGTTTTGTTCGTCATCACTGACACAGGCGGCGCCGTTTTGCTTCCAGCAGTCGAGTTGGGCGTCTTTTTCGCCTTAGCATTTGTTGTTTTTCGTCCATTGAGTTTCATGGCCAATCTGTCATGTGCCGACTGTGCTTTCCGCTTACCGGTTACTGGCAGTCGTCCTGCCGTCCCAAATGTACCCAGCGGGCCACCTACAGTCATCGGTGCTCCACTATTGACCACCGCTTCAGCTTCCGGAGACCGCACAGGTGAGCCTCTAGGAGGAGGAGGACTAGACTTCGCTGCTGGCGTGCCCAGAGGTTTCTTCCTCTTGTCCCTTAGATCTCTCTGGATTTCCTCAATGGTGCGTCGGTCTCGTCTACGCGTGCCCAGGGGCATCATCATCGCCCCTGGTTCCGCAGCTTTAAATCTGGCCGCTGCACGAGTCGAATTGACATTCAGCGTCTCAGTATTAGCTGCCAGTCCGTGAGGACGCGGGGCAGATAGTGCCGGTCCCGACGAATTGCTGGCGTAGCCGTGGCTCGTGCGGTTGCTTATGCCTCCAGGTGGAGTGGCGTGTGTGCTGGTCGAGTTGGCGTCGGTGCCGGCATTCTCAGCCTCGGGTTCATCTTCCGACTCAGAATCAGACGATGAAGAGGAGGAGGAGGAGCCTGAGCTGGAGGAGGACGAGTCGTCGTCGGAGCTCGAGTTATCAGCCTTGTCCTCCTCTTGGTCCTGGATGTGCGTTTCTTGCGGGTTCTCAGCCATTATAAGGAGTTAACGACTGATAAAGATGGAGGTGGCAGCGCGAGACGGAGGGTGAAGATATCCACGCGGTGGACTAACAAAAGAGGCGCTGCGAGCGACAGCGACACCAACGTGCTTAATGTCAGCGAAAATATTTGTGAGCTCGTCACTGGCTACAGAAACGGTTTTGGATGACGATTGGTTAAAAGTAGTGTAGTGGTTTTTGATTGATTGAAATGTGCACCAAATTGTTTTCTAGCGGCATGAAAGGCCTCAATCTCGGTGGCGTCGTGGAGTTCTGCCGCGTGCTGACGCGTCAACCACAGCTTTTGCTGCCGCAGCTCTCCGTGAAAGGTAAGCTCCACCATCTCTTCCTATTGTGTGCGCAGAATCGCTGCTGAATAAGCAAGTATGCATTTTGTAAAAAATTGTTGCGATTGTGTGTATTCCTGCTCTTTATGCTATTCAGATGTTACGGAGGTGCCCTTCCAGACTCTTCGAGACCGCGGATTCCGCGGCGTCATTTTTGACAAGGATAATACGTTGACCGTACCGCACAAACTGGAGATCGCTCCTCATTTGGCGCCGTCATTGGAAGAATGCCGTCGGGTTTTCGGAGACTCAGGCGTCGTGATTTTCTCCAACTCGGCTGGTTCAACGGACGACAAGGATGGAGTCGAAGCCAAGAAAATCGAAGAGGAGTTACAAGTTGCGGTGCTTCGTCACAATCAAAAGGTGTTGGTGACGAATTTTGTGCTGGATTGTTGGGTTGAGGCTGACATTTAATTTATTATTTTTTTTGCCATGAAAGAAACCAGGAGGAATTACATTCGTAAAGAAGCACTTCGGTGAAGTGGATCCACAAACACTTGTGGTGATTGGCGATCGGTACTCGACGGATGTGCTATTTGGCAACCTCAATGGTGAGATGTTTTAGAATGAACCACAAATAATTGATGAGGTTGTGACTCCTTTGTATCCTGATACCGTGCAGGTTTGCTTACGATCCGAACAGAGCAATTCACTCCTGAGAGTGAAAATGTGGTGAACCGGCAGCTGCAACGCATCGAAAAGGCGGCTGTGCGAATGCTGGTACGCGCTGGAGTGAAGCCACCAACACATCCGCTGTGGAAAATTATCGAGAACAAGGACGACGAGTAAATAGTATACACGGAACGATCGTCCTTGCGGTTCTTTTAGAGATATGCTAGTTCTATAGCAGATGAATTGTACAAGGCATCACAGCTGCAGATGATTAAACGATTATGGGCTTACCACGTAGTGCTACACTGTGGTGAATGTGTCTATTGTCGTAGGTTCCTGCTCACGAACACCAATTTCAAGCTCCTGAAGCTTACGCTGCTCTTCCTCTAATAGCTGCTCGAGGCGAAGCTGACGTTGCTGGCTCCTTTCAAGCCGCCGCTGCTGCTTTTCTTCCTCTTGACGCACTTGAGCATCGATGATCCATTGATACTTGGACTGATTGAGTCCTAGAAAATTCGCTAGCACCTCACCCGCGAAGTCCATGCCGTCGAACGTTTTGGCGCCAGACCAGCAGATCCAGTCCCATGCAATCCGAGGCACTTCGGAGTAAATGGAGAAAGTTTGAGAATCGCCATCGTACTCAAATGCGTTGTTTTCTTGGTCGTTGTTGTGCATCACCTGTTTTTCAGACTCTAGGTTGATCTCATTCTTGGTTCGAGCTCTCTCGTTCACCGTCATGCTGTTACGCTTGCTTCTTTCAGTTTGTGAGTTCTTCGTTACTGTGGGTTTTGAATTTCAGTTTGTGAGCTTCATTACGGTGGATATTGACTCCAGGGTTTGAAACCAACGAGAATAACGGACAAGAACTTGTCGGTACTCGTCTTGACCTAAAACCGTTCAGGAATTTTACTAGCTGGTTTTATGGTGAATGAGCTTTGCACAAAGCGTCGAGGTAAACGATTCAGAAAGCACTTTCATTGATTATGACGTTTCTACTCACTGCTTAGACTATTAGACTTCGCAAGCTCAGGTCACGCCACGACACACGTTCGAAATGGATGAGGTTGGTCCATAATAAATAGCTGTAGAGCTTTCAGAAAAAAAAAGAGGACGAAAGACTGCCACCTTGCTGACGCTTCACATGATAGTGCACATTTCCCCGTTGCGTTCGCTATATGTCGATCCGCTGCTGGCACTACTGTTCGAGTCTGGAGAACACACAAATTCGTTGAGATTCTTCATCGCCACTGCCACATTGCTCATGAAGTATGGTCGCCAGATTTTGCGGTACATGAACTTGGCTGAAAAGGGCAACATACCCTGAATACTGCGCTGTTCACTTTCACCTCCCCAAATCTTGCTGCGCTCAACGATCCACGGCACCACGACACGTTTGGCCCGGATAGCGCGGAATACACGAGGCATAATGTGGCTTCGAAATGCTCGTTCCGTGAATGCAGCGCTCATAGCTGAATGTAGCGTTGTCTCCTCCATATTCAACGCTGAGTGAAGGGTACGATTCAGTTGTCTGATCTCGGTCTGCAGTACTTGAAGCCGCAGCAGCCATGATGACGCACTGCACGCTCCACTGACACACAACGCACGCTCAAGCTGCTGAATTTGCGCCAGCATTTGCTTGATATCCTGGTACACATCCAGAATTTGCTGCTTGGTCGACACTGGCAAGTTGAGCATCGGCAACAACACGGCTGCCTTGACCTCATGCTGGCACAGCAAATACTCGACGAAATAAGTCTTGAACCAGAGGAAGAACTCTGCCACGTGGGCTTCCAGTGCCAATGTGTGTGAAGCTTCAGGTTTAGACTGACTCTGAGACTGCTCCAAGAATCTGTCCATGACGAAGAGCGCGTGACGAATGGGCTCGTGGATTCCCAAGAGGAACTTGGCGCTCCAACTCCAGTCCCGCTGTTCAGAGAACACGGCACTAAAAATGACGCTGCCATTGTGTGACGACGGAGGAGGAACTGGTAAGTTCTTAAAGTTGAGTTCCTTTCTACCCGACTTGTCACTGCCAATGCCACGTCCATTGACGTGCTTTTTGACGTTCGGGAAAACTATCTCGGGCGTTTTGGCTCGCTTCAGCTCGCCTGGTCGATGTCGGGTCACCAGTGAGGACGCTAAGCTGCTGAGATCATCGTCGCTGTCTTCGCAGCTGAGTTCTGTGATTCTATCTGCTCGACTGCAGATGGGAGACATGATTTCCTCCGGCTCGGTATCAGCAGTGGAAGGACCTTTATCACTTCCTGTACTAGTGCCAGACGACTTGTCCGAGCCAGATTCTAATCCTAACGCGAGGCTGCGATCGTCCCAAATATTGACGAGTCTCACCTTCTTGGAATCCTCACCGTAGTCGGCGCGGAAGTCCGACATGGTCGTAACCACGTGCGCCACTTGTGCAATGTCGACGAGAGGTCCCGTTGCCACTCGCTTCTTGAACTTACGCGACGCTGCTGAAGCCGGGGAGCGGCCGGATTTGGTGGAGCGTGCGCGACGCCGTAGCGCTGCGTCTTCATCCTCGGTTGGACCCCAAATGTTGCGGTAGAACTCGCAGGGTAACGCCATTTTGTGCTTGACCTTCGCTCTGTCGTGTAGCGCCACACTCTGGTACGAGCTGGTCGCGCTTTCGCCGCGTTTGTTGTGGTAAAACGAGATGGAAAGTGGCATCGCAACTCCGTCGCGTACTGGGAGTGGATTTGCTTCGTTCTCTGGAATTCTCTGTTGGTGGTTGGAGTGTTTCAATTTGGTGGGGGATCGCACTTTAGAGCACGCCTCTTTGGCGCTAAGTGGCGCTTGGAGGGCCAATTGCCGAGTGAGGAGGTGACGAAACGGAGAACTTGGGATTGTACCAGCGAAAACACTTCGAGTTGCCGAAGTCTTCGCCGGTGAGAGACGGAGCAGCTCGAGCTGCTTGCAGTTGGCGACGAGGCTCAGTTTCGTTGGCGTGCTCGTAGCTCCTTCGCACTACGCGTTGCTCCTGACACTTTCCAGCAAGCAAGCGAGTGACGAAACTTCTTTTGGTTGATTGCCAGCGGGGGGAAACGAAATGCCCGCTCTGCAACAAGGGGCGATTCCTATTGGGTCAAGAGTAAGTTGGAGAATGGAACCAGCACGAAGGCAGCGGGGCAGAGGAGTATTATATAGCCAGCACAAGCTGCTTCGTCCACAGCAATAGTCTAAGACTATCGACCACTAAAGTTCGAGTTGAGTTTACCCTTTGCACTGTTCAGCTGGGTTCTAGTGTAACATCTCGACGCCAGAAAAATTAGCGACAAATTGCCGTCAAGGGTGCCGCTAAACTGAAAAAAATGCCATGCAAATCACATCGGCCTGCCAAACGGTAGAGGCAAAAACAGTTGACCCTCTCTCCCGGTCAGCTCAGCTCGACACTACCAGGTACAGGGGTCCAACCCCGGGGTTCACCGCGCCTACAGCGTATTACACCACCATGGCGGCGCCGGCAACATGGCTCAAGTCCATCGCGACGCAATAGTTCAACGTCGAATTTCTCGTTGAGCCAATCAGGTGTCCGGAAACCTTAGAACCTGGATAAGAGTTCGTTTTTCGGCGTTATATTCGACGGCGATCTTGGAGCAGAGCCCATCTCAAAAACCTATAAAAAGCAACTGATTTCGGCAACATTGCCGATATCAGACCACGTCGAAGCCCTTTGAAGGGTGTTCAATGGCTTACCAGTGCTGAACAGCCAAAGGTATCTGCCAGCCGGAGGTGCCGGAGACTGCAAGAATTACATTACGTCTCTGCTCAGCATTTCATTTGACGACGATGGTGTTCCCTACTCATCTGGATTACAGGACGTCCTGCGAGAAAGCCACACCACTCAGTTGCAGCGCAACTTGCACTGATTGACATTGACATGTCTACGTTGGCATTACTGCTGGCAGATCGCGCGGACAAAAGTGAAGTTGACGCGGTGTAACGTGCACAAGCGCTGAGCTTGCTGTGCAAAGCGTGACTGGCGTTACGGTTGGTTGGCAATAAAGCCGACCAATATTTTTCAACAGACAGAATTGATGTTGCCGATATTGCTTCAACATGCCCCCATCCTCATCGTCAGTGTACGACCCAGGTTACTTGGTAAACGTGCCAGTGCTTATTGTTTCGGTGGTGGGCAGCACAAGATGCACATGTAGTCCAAGTGGCAAGTGATGAATCATGAAAAGAAGGTATTTATCGGGATCCTGAACCCAGGCAGACTCCAACCACTTGATGTTTCTTTCTCTTATCACTTGCGGGGTCGAGTTTACAATCTAAACTTTTTTGAAAAGAAATTTTCGCAGATCGGATACATATATCGGTTGATTTTTTGGCCAGGATATTGTAGATCAAATTCCACTACCATATATTTTCTTGTCTTCTCTACCTACTCGTCCGTGGAGATGCCGCTATCCGAGTCGGCCATGTGTGGCGAAATACCGTGGTTCGTTCCGTTCGACTTCGGACGAGATTTATTCCGCGACATGCTCAAGCGGTTCTTTTTCACTTTTTTGCGCTTCGGCGGGCTAACAGCGGCATCTTCAGCTTTGTCGTTGCTCTTCTTCTTTGAGGCCGTCTTGGTGGTCGTCTTTGTCGATCTACTTGACTTGCTCTTCGATGCCGGTTTATTCGATGCTGCTTTTGCAGGGATATGTGTTGGCGTCGCTGGATTCGCCGCAGCTGAGCCATCGCACACACTGCAGACCCATGTCTTCGCCATACGCGCCGCATGTCGCTCCGACATGTTGACGCATTTCGGATGAAACTTCGTGTCACACGACGAGCATATCAACGTGAGCTTTGGGTCTTCTTCGCTGGCATCGCACACGCAGACGCGAGTCGGTTCCTTACGCACAGCAGCATGTGGTTTGCAGTACAAAGCGTACGTGGTCCCATCGATCTCACCACCGCTCTCCACAGCACAACGCAGGTGGTAATTACGACGACACTTGGCTACGACGCAGCCCACCGTGGCACCAAACTTGTGGCAGCTCGTACACTTGAGCTGTCGTCCGCGCTTGATTGCCTTGGGTAAGTTCATGATCAGACCATCAGCCTTCACGTACACTTCCGGCGAGTGCACAGCACAGTTCAAGTGAACATACACGGACTCGTTGGGCTTATCAGCATACTTCAAGCGCACAGGAGCTTCAATGAAAGGCCCCTCCAAGGCTATATCTGCCGTATCAGTCCCCGTCGAATCTACCCCCTGCTTCGTTGTAGGAGGTGGTGGCAGCTCTTGGCTATCTGACCCACCCATCACGTTTCCGCGGTGGCATAGCGCGCAGATCTTAGGCTTCGCGATCCTGTTGGCTGATTGCGCAGACTTGCTCTTCTTCGATCCACTTGAGCTCGGTCTCTTCGGAGATGGCTCGCGCTTGCGCTTACCGTTCGACTTTTCCGGTGGCTCTGCCTCATCTTCGTCTAGAGGAATATGCTGTGGGATTTCTAGTCGCTGCTGCGCTGCCGCCTGAGTAAACACTGCACCAGCATGGGCTGATCCCGATGCTTTTGTTTTTCCAGCAGAGACTGGTGCTTTCTTCCCGTCTATATGATTTGCGCAAATCATGAGGTTCTTCGATAGTCGTATAAACTTGTCTGCTGATGGAATGCACTCTGGATGGAAGGCTTGAGAGCAGTGGATACAGCTCACTACACCAGTCTTGTCGTCACTTTTCTTGTTGCTATTAGCCGCTTGATTGTTGCTGGTCTTTGAGCAGGCATGGCAAAAGTGGCTCGGGCAACGGAAGCGCTTCTTGCCAACCCACTCGACGCGCGAGTTCTCTGCCAGACAGCCCTTGTGGTAGAATCTGCCACATTTGGCTACGGAACACTGTGTGACACCAAACTCAACGCCCATTTCGCCGACCTGCTTGCAAATCAGGCACATATGACGACCCTCAGCACAATCTGGGCACAGCCACTGCTCGTCATTCGGTTCATCCTTCATACCCACACACTCGAGATGGAACGAGCGATGGCACGGGCCATCACACAGCAAGATCAGTCCACCGTCGCCACAAAGAGTGCATAAATCGTCGGTCTCGTTGATAATGCCGCCTTGGAATAGGGTAATTGGGGGGTTCGCATCTTCAGTTCTCGGATGTTTTGGTGGGCGACCACGTCCTCTCTTCTTTACCGGAGTATTGCCATACGCTTCATCTTCGCTACTACCAGCTCTGCTGCCTGAAGGTGTGCTTCTCCTTCTTCTTTTCTTCTTCGGTGTGTCAAAGTCTTCATCCTGGAACATGTTCGTTCGAGCAGGAGCTAGTCGACAGCTTCGTACACGTGACTTTTCCAGTTTTGACAGGTATCCCTTCACGAGATCGATCTGATCGTTCGAGAATTCGTCACGGTATTTCGAGCTCACAGTATTCAATACCTGGATTGCAATGTCGTACTCGTGCTGAATGTCTCGACTGCCAACGCGGCCATCGTCAGAACTGTTGCCTGAACTCATCTCAGCGACCAAGCTCGTTAGAGCAATATCCAAATTGCTGATAAACTTGATCTTCGACTGACGCGAGTTCACGGCACTGCTATCTTCCAGCTTCAAGCTGAGCATTTCCACCGAGACAGCGCCAGGAAGAACCTTCTCCCAGAAGTTCGGATCGTCCACGGATAGTTCACCAGTCGCCCCCTCGGCAACGAAGGATGAACGATCCACGGCCATTCCGCCCAATGACTTTCTTTTATGAGCCTTTAGGGGAGACTTTTTCAGTTTTGGTGATGCCACTCCGCCCGTATCGCCATCGGAGCTCTTGTTAGCATTGGACGCGCCGCCTACAACCATAACACGGGCGTTCTCCTTCAAAATGGTCTCAATATCGCGTTCAGCAAACTCCTTCGACGCCGTATCATCCTCCTCCATGAGAGCATACGCTCCGCGCTTCAACAGCTCGACAAGTTGCTCTGCCGACGGTTTTGTGATCTGCGAGTTCTCGTTAAAGGACGCCGTGCCTAATACGGCGTGCTCTAGGCCAAGCTTTCGTGATGCACGGTCAAACATCTCGCTTTCGTACGTGTTGCGGGTCACTAGACGGTAGATTTGAACACTCTTTTTCTGGCCAATACGGTGGCAACGTGCCTGCGCTTGCAGATCATTCATCGGGTTCCAATCGCTGTCGAAGATAATCACCGTGTCAGCTGCAATGAGATTGATACCCACACCACCAGCTTTCGTGCTCAGCAAGAAAATGAACGACTTCGAGTGGGGTCGAGAAAATCGATCAATAGCACTCTGGCGCACGCTTCCACCAGTAGAGCCGTCCAAACGCTCGAACACAAAAGAATTGGCCTCGCAGTAGCGCTCCAGCAAGTCGAGTTGCTTCAGGAATTGGCTGAAAATCAAAATCTTGTGTCCATCTCTTTTCAGCTTCGGGATTAGCTTGGACACAAGCATCATTTTTCCTGAGCACTCGATCGTCTTCTCCATCACTTGAGCCGGTGTGGGGTTGTTACCTAGCTCATCCAGCTCTCGCTCCTCAACGCCCTTGATTAGGAATGGGTGATTGCAGCATTTCCGCAATTGTAGCTGAATATTGTTCAACGTCGGTAGACCATTCTTCGTTCCGCGGTACAGGAAACTCTTATTTTTGTCGTAAATGGCTCGGTAGTACTGCTTCTGCAGTGTCGTTAGCTCCACTGAGATAATCGTTTCTTCCTTCGGAGGAATACTCTTCTCAACGTCCTCCTTCACGCGACGCAAAATGTATGGTGCCAACAATTGCTGAAGCCTCACGACTTGTTCCTGTGAATGAAGCTTTCCGAAATTCTGGTTGAACTCCTCCAAACTTGCAAACTTCACTGGCTCCAGGTAGTTCAGCAGGACCCATAGCTCTAGGGTGTTGTTTTGCAACGGTGTGCCAGTCAGCAATACCTTGCGATCAACGTGAAGTACGCGCATCATCTTCAGCACGCGTGACCCGGCACTCTTCAATCGATGGGCCTCATCCACCACGACTAAGCGCCAATGAATGTGCTCAAACTCTTCGAAGTCCGCCAAAATGGTCTCGAAGGTGGTCAGCAGGATGTGGAACTTGAAGATGGAGTTGCCCAAACCGGGGTAATACCATTCCTGGTTACGAATGACAGCTCGCATGTCCTTGGCCGTGAACTTGGTGGAGCGGTCACCAATATCGTGATACACGCACACATTGAGATCCGTCCAGCTTTCAATCTCACGCCGCCAATGTTGGATAGTCGAAAGAGGCACGACAATCAAGTATGGTCCACGAATGGACTCCTCAGACTTCATGTGTTCGATCAGCGATACAATTTGAACCGTCTTACCCAGACCCATCTCGTCAGCCAATATGCAGGATCGCTGAGCTTTAATGCACGACACCATCCAATTGAGACCGTCAACCTGATAAGCACGCAGCGTGCGGCCACCTTTGTATGTTGGTGACTGCTCGTATGGCACAAACTCGTTCGCATCTCCACTAAAACCCGCATTCTTGTCGTACGATCCACTACTGGCTGCATTTCTCCTCTCTGGGAGGAAGCTCGCGAAGTGCTCATGTGGATCGATACTGTTGTCGACGACCCCAGCGTAAAGATGTTGCATGGGGCCGCTTGGTGCACTATAGTTCGTGTGTTGCATCAACGTCTGCGTCGAAGCTGCCGAAGCTACGTCTGGGTCTGCAACTCCAATTTTGAGCATTCGTTTGTACTTGTTATAACTGAAGTCCGCGTACTTCGAGCCTTCGGGGGCCGCATCGTCGGGGATCTTCTCCAATCGAATCTTCGTAATCTGCTTTGCTTGGCAGTACGGAGGGTACATGAACGCTGGTCGGGGGGAATGGAAGTGGAAAAGAACTTGATGGGGAGAAGCACCGATCAACGTGACGACGTCTTGAAACGAACGTCCAGCCACCGAGATGTTGTTCACGGCTACAAGCACGTCACCAATCGAAATAGCTCCGGACGCCTGAGCTGGGCCAATCATTCCATTCGCAAGAGCCTGAAATCCAAGAACCGATACATTGCTGTTGCTGCTGATTCCAAGACGCATACCTAAACCGAAAGGCGATCGACCCAGAATTATACAGTACTCCGTAAAGGCTGGTAGCTCCTTGAAAGCTGTTGCTGAGAATTTCGAGTCGAATCGAAACTCAGCACTGACGGTCTCAAGTTTGGTGGAGTATCCAAGCGCAACGTGCTCAACGATAGAGCTAAGCACTTCACCGACCTCTTCTTCCGTTTTCTTTTTGTGGCCTCCAGTTTCATCATCGTTTTCGTCGTCGTCATTCTCCAGCGTCAAAATTCCAGGATAGAAAGCTGGTCGATTCAAATAATCCGTCTCGGCATCGAAGTCAGCGTCGTCATCAGATGAGTCCCCATCTTCATCCGAGTAATCTTCATCGTCGTCCTCTTTGGAAACCTTAGGTGCCAAGTACTGTTTCGTGGTCACAAACGCGTTCGTGTACATACCGCACTGCTTGAGCACATCCTTGTCGGGCGTGTGGTTGTTCAGCAAACAGTGAAAAGCGAATAACTGTGCCTTCACTTGCTCTTGCATGTGAAGACGTTGATACGCATTACTGCCGTAGGCCCCACCCAGCGGTTTGATGCTTCGACTACAATCACCCTCGTGGCCGTTGCCAAGAGTACAAAAGCGGTCTTTTTCACAGCATCTTTTTCCACTTGTGGCCGTTGCTAGAGCATACTCGTGTCGCTTAGCGCAGCATGGCAATTGGCACGTGGTCTCACGGATCTCCTTCGCGCTAGGCACGCGGCTAAACTTGAAATATCTCTGGATCTGCTCATCGTCACCAATATCCTCGGGACGCTCCCACGTTGAGAATCGAACCGACATGCCCACCCACTTGACAAGGAAAAACGTAGCAGCGCGATCTTTCATACTGATGGGCGCCAAGCTCTTGGTCGCGTTGGTACCTTTAGGGCTGCGCTTGGACGTTTTCTTGTTAACTTTACCTTCACCATCGGCACGTTCCATAAGGATATTGGGGGCGAGTGTAGATGCGGTAGTCGTTTTCTTGTCTGCATGTGTTGGAGTTGAACCAGAGGCTGAAGGGGCAGCCTCACCATTAGATTCTTCTATCTCGATAGTCTTCATCTTCAACTTGGTTTCGAAATCCAGCTTCACCCTCTCCATCTTACTAGTAAATCTCTTACGCGCTCGGCAGTACCCGCAGAACCATTCACCTTCAGGCAAATCCGTGATCTTAGGAGTAGCACAGTGCATATGGACCTCACCATCGCATCGGTCACATAGTAGAAGCTCCTCACTGTGATTGTTATTTCTACACACGCAACAGCCAATCCGCCAAGGCGCCCACACATCGTAGAATTCTTCTGCTTCATCACGAAATTCTTTCTGGAGGCGCTGGTCCTCCTCTGCGTCTCCTGAAAGAGACAATTTGAGCCACGCTGATGGGGATAGTATCCAGTCATAAAACCATTTTTCGAATGTGTGTAGCAGCTCGTTGGCAACGCGCCAGATGTCTGATCCCTCGGCATTGTACGTTTTGCAATTCTGAAACACCAGTCTCACATCTGAGGCAAATAGTGACACGGCTGATGGTCCAATGTAGTAACTTTCCCGACCAAGTCGTGTGGAAATCGTTCCAAGGTCCATGGGATTCGTGATGAAGTTGAGGTAGTCAGGAACTTCCTCAATATCCACAGGTTGTTGAAAGATATCACCACCTACTTCTTTCGTCAGCTTTGTCACAATGCCTAGCATACGCTCCTGAATACTGTCGGCATTATTCATCAGGAAATAGTCTGTCACACGTGGAAATTTGGGCTCAAACTTTAGTTGACGTCGCCGCTTTTCGATCTGCTCATCCAAATGGTCGGCTGGGTCCACCTTGTGGTTCAATATCTTCTCCACGGTCAGTTTATTGGCCTCCAAATCATCCACCTCATCTAGTGGCTGATAACCCTCGCGTCGAAGCTTTCGGTCGTACACGTGCACGCGGTGAAACTTCTGGTATCCCTCAGGAATGAAAAGCTCCAACTCATCGAACGTAAGCCAGTAGAGGTGTAGGTATGAACGACCAAGGAACTTGCACAAATACTCCACTAGTCCGGACGACTCATTGGTCCGTCGTCCGACAATTTGGTCCAACAGAGGGTAACCCACGTCCTACAAACCAAAATCAGTACATCAACATACTTCAAAGGCACCGCATTCCACGTACCTCTCTCAACTGGTAGTCAAGTTGCTGTGCTCGCTTCTTCTTCTCTGCAATAATAGCTTCTTCACCCTCAGAGATGTCGTCCTCCTCCACGTACTTCACCTTCTTGCTCGTTCGGCGCTTGCGACGTTTATCACTGTCCTCGCTTTTTGTTTGACTTTCAGTCTCCACTTTGGCCTCCACTTCGTCGGTGCTAGCGCTTTCAGGGCTTAGCTCGGGCTCAGCGACTGGTATTATCTGCTCAGGGGCCTCAATGGGAGCGGGCGTCGACGCGAGGGCTATTTCCTGGTGACTGGCGGGTGGCGCTGCATTCGCGGCCGTATCCATCTCTGTGGCAGCTTCAACAGGTGCAGTCGTCGCTGCAGGAGCTTGTTCTTGCTGGCTGGCGGGAATCGCTCCGTCCACCACCGTCGTAACCTGCTCGCCTGTGACCACGACCTCGGGCGTCACTATCGGGGCTCCTTCCTGCTGATTTGCCGGTGCAGCTACTGTGAGAAGCAATAACACCCGAGGTATTGTCATTAGAACAGTTTTTGTCGTGAAAGGCAACGCTAAAAAAAACGCTCAAACGGGCGAGATGCCGTCTAATGCCCCTAAATTCGCTGTAATGGACGCACCTAGCTCGGAATCGCCACTGTCCATGATCCTCGCACTCAGTCACTCACACGATGCAGCAGCGACGGGTCTGGTCGCAGAGGCAGTAGCTACGAGTGGGCAAAGAGTGCGCGCCTCTCGCTCGCGGACGTTGTGAGCGAAATGGCGGCAACTGCAGTCCTGTGAAGGTTTGGTGTGACGCACACGAAATTAAGCAATTCATTGAATTGATTACCAACTGACACAGGATGGCTACATTTTTTAGCTTGTCAAACATGGCGATAAATTGTGAGGCGACATATTAACTTGTCAGCCAGGGTTGACAAGAGGGAGGTTGAAAGTAAGAATACAGTAACTTTGTGCTTAAACATCTAACCGAATTGGGTGATTCCACACGGACTTCATCAATAGATAATGCCGAGGTCATAACAACCAAAAGACTGGGCCGTTTACTAGTATGCTTGAACGACGTGTTCAGGTATTGGTAGTCGCGTGTTGGTTGACCCAACAGTATTCTCTGATATATTTCGCCCTGGCATGGCCAGTGGGACAGTCATGAACCCGCAATGTATCGCCTGCCCGAAAAGAAGCTTCGCTGAAACTCTTTTGACGTAGCAGCCACGATGTGTGTTTTTGCGTCCTCACAATGGTGAAACGACGGGGGATTGATTTTGTTCTGTCCGCGAATAGGATCGTAGAACCGCTCCAACAGCGCAACACACGTGCTCTTACCACCACCGCTCGGACCGCAAAATGCCACAGTCTCTATGCTCGATGGTGAGATTGTTATTCCTCAGCACAGTCACCTCGGGTCTGGTCGGGTAGCGAAACAAGACATCCTTAAACTCAATCTTGCCTAAGACACTAGCTGGTCGCAGTCCGCCCTCTTGGAAGGAATCAATTGGCGGCTTGCGGTCTCGAAGAGAGAGGATAACATTCCCTGCCTCAAATGCGCTTTCTGCGTCTGCAATATACCCCACCGAGGCCCCCACCGTTTGAGACGACATGATAATGGCCATCAGTGAACGCATCAATTGCAAAAAGGTAATCGATCCGTCATTCACCAGTTTGCCGCCGTACCAGAATACAAATGAGTACGTTGCAAAGATGATGAAAGAGCTGAAGCCAATAGCCAGACCGTTTATCTGTGCATCCCGCTCGCCGCTTTTCATAGGCTCATCAAGCAGTGCCGAAAACCTCTCACATGAAGCCTTTTCCAGCCCAAGCGACACAATTGTTCGAATGTTACCTAGGACTTCCGAAGCATGTGCTCCGACCTCAGCCATATCGTCGGCTAGAATACTGCTCCCACGTCTGTTGGTCGAGCGAAACACGTTACCAAGGACCAAGAATGGGATGATGGCAAGCATCACGAGCGTGAGTAGCCAACTCCCTGCCAGAAACGAGATTAAATGAGCCGCTGCTGTCGTAAATATGGCTTGGAAAAGGCGGCCTTGAGATTCTCCAGATATCACTGCAACGCGCAGAGCATCCGTCGCTAGGTCAGCTGTGAGAGCTCCGGTTGCGTGCTCCTTCTCGTCAAAGAAAGCAATATTTTGTCTGCATAGTGAAGAGAAATGAATTCCTCGAAGTCGTGCAGTCAGCTTCTCCGCCATGTACTGAAATCCATAGCTTTGACAACCTCGACCGATCCAAATGACCACACTTCCAGCTATGTAAAGACTACCATACACGGCCACCTTGTGAGGCAGGCTTGACAGATATGACAAGTCTTCGTATTCCTCATACTTGGCATAATCCAGCGTCATGATCGCTACTAATTGACTTATTAGGACAGCAGAGGCAGGAAACGAAGCACCGTTGATTGCCGACCCGATCATTCCCATGATGAAATATCCACGTTCAGGTCTACTAAGCGCATTAGCATCCCACACAGTAAATTTGTGTGAAATCTCGTTCTCCGACACGGAATCGATCAAGCCAACACTACTGGTACGCGCGCTTGTTCTCGATCCATCGCTTCTCATAGAGCGACTACTCTCCTGTCGAGTCAAATACCCATCCGCCTCCTTGCTTCGCTCAGCCTCAGTTAGAGCCAATGCAGCACCTTCAGCTTCTTCTTGAGCCTTTGTTTCTTGAATCGTGTACAAGCTGCGATATAGTCCATGCTCGAGTTCTACTAGCTCGTCATGAGGGCCTTCTTCGACAACATGACCGTCAGCTAATACGACAATTTTATCAGCATGGCGGATCGTACTAAGGCGATGGGCTATCGCCAAGGTCGTCATATTCGTTTCTGCCATCAATTCGTTCAAAGCTTGTTGCACCACTCTCTCGCTCTCGGCGTCTAGCGCACTTGTGGCCTCATCCAGCACCAAAATCTTTGGTTCTCGGATAATTGCACGTCCGATTGCCACGCGCTGCTTCTGTCCTCCAGAGAGCGATACGCCTTTCTCTCCTACCATGGTATCATAGTTCTGGGGTAATGACATGATAAAGGTGTGCGCGTTAGCCATCTTAGCTGCTGCGGTGATGTCGTCACGAGTGAAGTCCGTCCGACTCGCAGAAATGTTCTCTCCAATAGTAGTTGCAAACAGCACGGGCTCCTGCGACACTAGTCCAATCTGCGAACGCAGCCACTTTACGTTTAGTGTTCGCAAATCACGTCCGTCAAGCAGAATAGAACCGCTCGTAGGATCATAAAACCTCTCCAGGAGCGCGATGATAGTGCTTTTACCGCCACCACTTGCACCAACAAACGCAACCGTTTGACCGCTTTCAATTGTAACACTGTAATCTCGCAAAATTGGAGCATCTGGCCGACTTGGGTAGGCAAAGTTAACATTCCTGACCTCGATCCGACCAGAACTTGAGCCCGGAATAATACCTTGGTCTTCGTGAGACGCATCGATTTGCGATTGCGTGTCCAACAGCTCGTAAAGTGCCACTGCAGCGCCGTTCGCCTCGATAACAGCAGTAAGGTTTGGAGTTATCAAACCAAGTGCACGCATTCCCATGAGGATGCCCATGAGCGATTGAAAGACTCGTTGAGGAGACGCCTCTCCTTTCCACACTTTGGAGCCTCCGTACCACAGCCCAGCGGCGTACATTAACCAGTCACAGCCACGGAACAAGCCCAACATAAGGGAAAGTATTCTGCTCTGCTTGATATTTCCTTGCTCAACTTCAGCAGTATGTTTGTTATACTTGGCAAGTGCGCGTTTCTCAGCTGTTAGCGAGCTGACAGTCCGCATGGAGCCCAGAGTTTCCTCTGCTACAGCCCCCGCCTCGGCATAGACTTGCTGCGCGTACGTCGCTCTCGACCTCCATCTCTTCATCACATAAGTCATCGACCACCCCATAACGGGCATGATACACGTCATGATCAGTGCAATGTCCCAGCCACGTGCCAGACCGATGATGTAGCCCGTCACAAACTGGCATACATATTTGACTCCATCACCCAGTTTTTGCCCCATTCCGTCCTTGATCTTGACCGTATCACCGGTGATACGACTCGAAAGTTGCAGCGGGTCATGAAGATCATACCACGAGATGTCCATATACAGCATGTGTTGCAGGGCATGTGCACGAAGAGCCTTCATCTGACGCTCGGCCGATAGAGAGAAGAGCAGGTACGCAAAGTAGTCCGTCATGAATAGCCCAATAGCAATGAGAAAGTAGTCGAGTGATGCACTGTTCAGTTTGTCGCTATCAACTCCACCGTCTGCTTGAGCAAATGCGCCAATAGCTTTGCCGAACACCAAAGCGATGCAAGGGAAAATAGCACCGTTGATTGCTGCCATGGTCACCCCAAGCACGAGTAGGATGCGGTCGGGGAGCGCCGCGAAGCGGTAGAGATCCAGGAAGGATAAGGTGGGCAACGTCGCTTGCGGATACTTCGTATCGCTAGTCGCGTCTTTGACTAAAACGACGCCCGGCTCACTAGTCGAATTGCGAGATCGCGGCGTCACCAGCTGGGCGTATGGTACGTCGCTGGGACGTGTCTTGTCGGCGGAAGCTGTCATAACTCACGCGACACCTTGAGGCTTAGTATCGTGTTCGGAAAACCACTGAATGAGGACGTCTATCATGGCCTAGTGGATCCGTTCTTTTTGGTCTGTGACAAAGCATGAAGAGACCTCTTCGGCGGTTGCTGAGTTTTAACTGGTTGAAATATGAGAAAGTATCCACAGATCCACAGGAATCGAGTGCTTTGCTCATTGTTTTCCGCAAGTTTGAGCTGCTACATGTACAAGCCGTACGAATTTTGTACATCATGTTTAACAGAAACAGAGATTCCAAAGCTTGAAGCAGAAAAACAATGTTTGACAGCCTTCCGTTGTTTTACATGTTGGTATTTTCATTATGAAAACTATCCCATGACCCTCTTCATGTTATTCTGGCATTTGGAGGTTTCCGGAGAAATTTCAGCGGGTCATAGCAGCACACCATAAAACTATCTGGATCGGGAGCGTCGATCAAGGTGAAGCTCTTGCACGTGCTGGCATCAGAGCCGACCACCACAAATACTCGTGGAATGCTGCGTGAAATATGCTCGCTGCGATCAAGTGCCTTGATTAGCTTGGTCCAAAGCTCCGACTTGAATGTTTTCGTATTGGAGGCAACAGTGCTGATCATGGTCACAACTTTTTCCTTCAAGTTGCTTCCTCTTAAAATCCCTTCACACACCACCACGGCTTGGACAAAAGGGAAGTTTACATTGTCAAGATGACAATATTCCCCCCGCGCCAATTGCGACAAATTTTCGTAGCACTCCTCCTCAGTACCTCCCGTATAGACAACCGGACGGCCGTGCAGTATAAGTCGGTCATATCTCTGATTTGAGTACGATGGGTCTGAGTTAACCACGACGTTTACCAACTGAATAGGATACCTTTTGGTCGACCGCCAAACTGCACCATGGAAGTACTGTTCAAATGCCGCTCCCTCAAATCCAGCTCGAAGGTTCTTAGCGACCTGGTAGAGGTTTAGTTGCATTTTTTCGTTCATAAAGCGTCCTATTCGCTTGAATGCATACCCGGAATCCATCGCCATCTCCCAGTGGCAAACCAACCAGTAATGTTCTTCATCGTTTGGGTCGACGACGTAGTGTCGCCGAATTCGATCCCACAAAGTGTACCCTCGGGGGCCTTGCTCGAGCTTCATTTCAAGCGTCTGTGCACTACTCACAATAGCACAAACTCCATCTATTCCATTCTTGACATCTGTGCGATTTCTACAATAGTCACGAAGACTTCCACCACTATAGAAGTATTGTTCCTGAGCCAGTTCTAGCGGGGTTTTGCCCTTCTCCTGATCTAGACCCGTCATTTGTTTCCAATCCTCTAGATTCAGTTCAGCATAACGCAGCAAATCATTAAAACGCCACGCCGGCAGCACAACTTCATCAGTCGAATACGCATCCTCCAAGGATGACGCGATAAGTTGGTACGGGAAGTTGCCAATTTGGTGTTCCACTTCCGCTCGAGAGTAACCATCAACGAGAGTCAAAGCACCTTGGAATTCCTTCCTATCAGAAAGCGATGAAATCTTCGCAGCCGTCAAGTTGGTCTTTTTGATGCAAGTATTGCTTTCACCATCAAGATAAACAACACAATTAGATTCAGAAAAACCATTCAAACGCCGAACAACCAGAACTTTCCGCTTCTCAATAAATGCCAAATAGAAACCGACCACCACGAGGAAGCACGACTTGCCAACCCCAGCTGAGCCCACAATCGTGACCCGCTTGTCCTGCTTCGACATCATCCGCATGACCAGTCTCCAAAGCACAAGCTCCTCCTTCCGTACGAAATATGACGACGGAAATCCTCCATATCCTTTCCAGAACTCCCTCAGACCAGAAGTTGCAATCAAGTTCTGTTCAGTCTGCTTGTCCTGCTTTAACACGTCGCAGAGGAGACTCAATTCGTCTGCAGAAACGCTGATAGTCTGAGTGTCCCCAATCGATTGCTCCGATCGTTTCCTCTTACCAGAAATATCTGGCTGTACCTCTATCTCTGCATTTGTCGGGGGTGCTTGAACGAGAATGTGGACGACGTTGGCGTCACGGTGTTTGAAGATCGCTGCCAATCGACTCATGGATGCCAGATGGCCTCTGTCCAGCAAACCCTTGGCTGGCCCGGTGTCTCCGTTCTCAATACTGTTCACTTCATCCGCCGTGAGCCACTCGCCGTTGTCTTTCTTGGCCAGATACACCCTCAGCTGGGCGGCGTTAAAGTCTCCGTAGATCTCCACAGCTTCGTTTTTGACCGTCTTCTGCAGCTCCCAAACGCGGTCGGTTCCCTTGACAATGACGGGAAACGCCGTGCCGACCATCCCAACAATCAGACACCACAGTTCCAGCTCTTGTGGTTCCGGTTCCTGCTCGCATTCCTGTTCGTGCAGCTCCTGGGTAGGGGGCTCCTCTTCCTCCATGGCAAACCTACCTAACTCATTTTTTTTTTCATGTTCAAACATAGAGAAAAACCTCATTTACAAGGTTTTTATTGGCGGTACAAGACAGCGAAGCTGATTGGTTGACAACATTGAAGTGAAGCATATCCTCCTAACAACGATTCTGCTGTGCAAAACTCTTCTATTGATGGCGTCTAATCTGGAGTGGGATAGCTTCTTTTGCAAAAGAAACGCTACAGTATCATCACAGCGGTACTGTAGATATCCTCAATGGAACTCAAAGCTTTCCAGCTCCTCCATTGACACTTGAGTTTCCTCACGCTTGTCAAAATTCTTTACCTTCACGATTTGCTGATCAATTTCTGCCCCACCCAGGATCACAGCGTGAGTGCTACCGTAGCGTTCAGCAGCCTGTAGCATTAGACAACATATAAGTTAGTAAAATAACTTCATACTTTCCGAATAGAAGCGTGCCATCACCTTCATCTGCTTCTTCATATTGCCCTTCCCGTGACAGAAATGAACTGTCAAGCCACGCTGGCGAAGCGTCTGAAAAATACGACACGGAATTGCACGTCAAAAACGTTGGAGACGTAAATGGTACGCGTCATGTATCACAGCGTACCTGCGCGACACGCATGGCTTCGTGAAGCACATGGTTCGAATTATCGCCAGCAAGCACAGGGATGACCTGTACATAAAACATTAGATACATCAACGCAATTTCTCGCCAACCTACGTGTGCAACTTACCGCAACAGAGCGTATCGACTCAGTCGGTTTCTCGCGAAGAAGGTTCAGACGATCAACTCCAGCTGCCCAACCCACACAAGCAGTCGCCGGTCCTCCTAACGACTCGGCCAATCCGTCGTAGCAACCGCCAGCGAGCACCGCAATACCGCCAACAGTTGCTCCCTCCGTGCTGGGAGCATCTGATGCTGGCTGTTCAATAAATTCGAACACGGTATTACTGTAGTAATCCTGCAATCCACCCAATTAACACAACGTGAGTCATTATATCTTTGCTTCTTGGGTATTCAAGCAGGGGTCGTACCAGCCCTCTCACAAGACGTGGGTTGTGCCGATATGTGATACCCAAAGCATCCAAGCCACCCAAAACATTATCAAAGCGCTAGACACCAAGAGATAAACTCAACGTGAGGTCCAATCGTAGTCAGGATGCAATAACTGTCATATTCCTACCATTCTGGATTCCTCGGAGAGAAAATCGCTAAGCTGTGGCGCATCAACAATAATCTTCTGGTCGATCTCACTCTTGGAGTCCAAGATTCGAAGAACACTCCCTCGTTCAAGACTGAAGTTTTGAAAAACGACGTGACCGTCAGAATATACCGAAGGCATGGTCAAAACTGCTAAACGCCAACGAACCGGTTGATACTGTCTGATGATAATTCGTCCCTGAACTTTGAGAAGAAAGCTCCCAGTGCGGTGCGATACCTTGCGCGACTATTACGACAGAACGAATCATTATAATGCTCACATCCTCAAGGGCTTCGGTTAATACATAGTAACCTTTCGCTATCACCGAGAGAGTTCAACTCTAGGACGACTTTGCTTTTGATCCCCAATGAGTTCAAAGCATCGGTAGCCATGGCAATAACCTGCAATGAAATAACGACACCGGTTTGCATAAGTTCACTGTAGCAACAGCTCTCACCCAATAGCATGACAAAATATACCTCTGCGTCAACCGATGGGCCGGTGGAACCCACGAATTCCACGCCTGGTACATCAATGTAGCACATTAGGCCGTGGATGCACATTCATTGCCACAGCAAGCTTACCGAACTGCTGAAATTCCCTGTACCTCCCGCGCTGAGGTCGCTCATACCTGCATCGAACGAAAATTTAATTTATGCGAACACTTCCCCTTTAAGTGCAATGAAAATGATATGCCAGTCGCCACGCACCGGAACATGCTACCCGAATACGAGACCTTGTGAGGCAGCGAGAACATCAAGTTGTTGCTCACAAGAGCCCGCATGATACCTGTAAAAGCAAATCCATCGCGTTGGCTATGATTTTCGTAGCTATTGCAAAAATTTTGAGCACTTACCAACAGTGCCTTCCGGTCTCAGCGTCACGCTCTTGCCCGAGTTGTCGTTGAATGTGTACATCTCCTGCAAAGACCAGTTTTGTTGTTCATCTCCCAGTTGCAAACGTGTATGCTTCAACCAGCCACGCACACCTTCATGACGATGTCGGATCCGTCACCCAACGATCGCGAGAACAGGTCCGTGTACTCCAGCAACGGTGTCTGGATCTGTTGAAAAATAGTTATCAGTCCGCCGTTGCACTTGTTAGATCATATACTAAAATCGACGCTTTGCACACACCGATCGGAATCCATAGCGCTCAACGGTACGCTGGAGTACGTCCAGCACTGCGCGATGTTGCTGAGAGTCGTCGGCCAGCAAGTCCCTCGTGCCTCGCACGCGATTAATAGCTTTCACCTTAGCGGCAACTGTGAGCCACCGACGTGTCTCGCTCGCCTGAGCAGGACCCGCTCGCCGCAGCGTCAGCCCCAGCATTCGTCAGCCTCACGTCTACTGTAATATTTCGAAGTATAGGAATTAAGCATACCAAAATTATGTAATTCTCAAAAGAATTTTAGCGAATCAAATCATCTGCTGGTGGCAACCCATACGTTAAAGCGACGCCAAGGAAGCATGAGCTTGGAGCAGCAGCAACGGAAGATAACGCCGGCCGAGGCCGCCGCAATTCCATCCAATGCACCGGCCTCTCTCATAGATGCCAAGCTCGTGCGCCACACACGGCGCTGCAACGGTCGCGACGTCTGCTCTTGCATGTTACGTGTGGAGAGCGCATATTTCCAGAAGAACTTGGCTGGTAAAGCCGCTGCCAAGAAGCGCCGAGGAGACAGCGCGGCCGTGCCAGTACCTACGAAGAGCAAGACGCACGCGTACCAGAAAGTGACCAACATTCAGCAACTGAATTACGAGCTCAAGCTCTATGTTGCGGCGTTCCTGGCGCCTATTTCACTCGGACGACTTGGAATGGTGCGTGCAGTGTTAAAACTGGATGCAATTTCATTGCTGACGTGCGCTATGGCCTATTACAGACCAACAAGACCTTCAAGAGGGACGTGGAGATCATGGCTAAGCAGGCTACTGGAGAGTTCTTGGCCGAGGCAGAACGGAGCAATCTACTGAAACAGGAGAAGCCCAAGAAGATGGAGTCGTGGTCGCAGTTCATGCACAACCAGATGACGTGTGTACACAAACTCTTCGTCTATTACACAGGCTATAAGACAGGTCCCATGAGGCAACAGTTCCCGCTCTGGTCTTTCGGTATTGTCAACGTGGATCCTAACGAGCCACACCGAATTATACTACCAAACGCGTGGAAGTTCCACGGGCACTACCCGTGGGTTCAGCGGCGCGGTAACGGAAAAGATGGCGAATGGCTGCTGACGAAGAAATACTCGGCGAATAAAGCACCGAAAGACTTTGTGGAGCACGTGAAGACGTGGGCGAACTCATTACGGCCAGGATCCATGCTAACGATCGCAGTATGTTGCTTCTATTTAGTACTACAGCTTGCTCATGGATTCACACTAATGCTATCTGTTCTGCTAATAGTATCAGAATGCTGGTTCATCAGAGCCGGCATGGTGGGAGGCGCAAGCTTGGTATGTATGGCGTGGTGACGGCAAGCAATGTGAGTTTCTTGTGTCCTAGTTATTTATTACATGGAATGACATCTAACGCTTCTCTCATATGCTTACTATGGCAGACCCTGCAACAGTGTACGATCCTGAGACAGAAACCCGCATACAAGTTCATCCGGATAATCTACTTGAGCACTTCCGAGTGAGTTGCAATTGTGTATCTACCGAACAGTATCGAGCTGGGACGAGACTGACAAAACTTGCTTTTGGCAACTTTGTGCAGGCACACCCATTGCACGTTATTGACGTGTCAACCGAGCCAGGGTCATTATGCAAAAAATGCGCTAGTAAGCACAGGACGTTCAAGTACTGTCACGTAGACAAAGGCCATCCAATGTTGTGAACCTGCGTGCTGGCTCATTGTGATCTGTCAGCTGAATCTACAAGAGTAAAAGAATACGCAGACAAGATCACTACATAGCTTAGCCCCGACACTCAATCCATTCACGGCTTCATGCATTAGACCTCATAACATTTGTCTTTTCACCCTACCAAAAACTAATATAAATGCAGATATACTGGAGCCGCAAGACTACACTGCAATGACAGGTTGTCTACGAGGTCCAGTGATCATGGACAGTCCTGCCTTGAACAAACTCCTCTTCTCCTTGGCATTGCCACGTCGGAAACGCAGCACAAGGGGGCGCTTCGCATCGTTCAGTGCCCACAGCGTGTGCTTGAGACCAGCGTGCTCAATGTTAGCGTTGCCAATTGCAACGAGGCAATCACCCGGATTCACAGCTGCCGCTTGTCCTTGGCTGCGGCGCACAATAAGACGCGGAGATCTCTTCAGACTTTCAATCTTGGGCGCCTACACGAACATTTGAAAGACGACATTAAAAAAATTAAATTGCTACAAATATCGAGAAAATGTTGATAAGCGTACCAGCTGGAGACCAAGAGAACCCTTGCGGCGAATGGTGATTTCATACTCGTTCGCCTTGGCAGTTCTCAGTGTCGAAACGCTGACCACTCCCATTGCCACGATCTTGTACACGCCCGTAATACTGGTGACCGCGGGGTGTTCGGCAACCTCCTGTGTCGTAATTGTCTCATCAGCTGAGAACTCGGCCTCTTCTCCTTCTTCCTCCTCTTCCACCATGGCTTCACGCACGATTTCTGTGATCTCACGGGCTCGACTGTAATCACATCACGAAAATTAGCACAGGATTCCCAGTAAACCATATCTCGCACTGAGACGTACGTTGTGGACCCTCTTCGCATCATATCCGTAGCCTTGTCCGATTTAGGTGCTGGTCTATAGAGACAACAGTCGTAAGTACAAGTCATGCCAACATAAGAGTAAACATTGCCCACCTGGCTGAGCTGGTCAATTGCTTCGACTTCTTTGCTGTACGTGAGCTTTTGAGCTCTTTGAGAACCAGATTATTAACACTTCCCATAGAAACCGTAGTCCCCGTGTCCAGATTTTTGACACACAAGCTACTTTCAGCAACTGAGGCCGGTAGCTGGATAGGAGTCGGCTCGTATTTCTCGTAAACGATACGATACAATGATGGACGATCGAGCGTCTCAACATCCAACGTGATCGTGCCCACGTCACCAGGAGGGATACTAAAGGTCTTAGACACTTGGAGCCATAGAGCCACGTCCGAGTTCATATCAACAACACGAATACGGTCCAGCGGACTGTGTCCGGTAGGAGCTTGAAACGTAATCTTGAGAGGCTTGCCAAGATCGCAGTTCTACCAACATAATTACACACATTTAGTCTGTACTGCATATTTCTGCTTGAAAAAGGAATGTGTACATACCGATTTGCACTTGACACTGTAGCCAGATTTTTCAGCTTGACGGCGGAAATACGTCCAAGCCGCACACACATTTTGCTCGTGTTGCAGCTGCTCCGTGTGTTGCAACAGACTTTTTGCACGTGCCACCTTAGGAATGTTGAAGTCTTCAGGGCCGTATCCGTACGGGTTAAACTCGACACTGGCCCCACGACGAATGAGCTCCGCAGCGACATCGTCCGCTCCACTGGCGCTGGAATTATGCAAACAAAGCAGTCAGTCTACGGTAGCGAAATTTCAGCTTCTCAGGGTGTTTGGACGTACCAAGCGTAATGCAGACAGCTCCAGCCTAGTTGGTCCTTGTGGTTCATATCACAGCCAGCGTCCAGCAGAATAATAACAATGCGTAGACGAGAGTCGGTGTCGCACTTGGTGGCGAGCATAACGAGATTGCGCTGGCGACTATCCAAGTACTGAACCTGCACTCCACGCTCAATTGCGACCTTCACTCCTTCAACCGATCCAGTACGAATAGCGTGTAGAAGCGTCTGAAGTAACGCTGCCTTCATGAGACGCGTGAGCTGCGTGTTCGACTGCATGGCTCGCACCCGCCAGCTCTTCGATGCCAACGGGACAAACGGACGGCGAGTGATAGAACTCGACTCGGCACTTCTCGCAGTGGCAGGACGCGCAGATAGCGGTGGCTTTTTCTCCTTCTGTTCTTCCTTCCACGAATCGTCACTGGGCGTTTCCAGCTCGGGTTCGTCCTGCGAATTGGAAGCTGTGAGCTTGAGGTCGCTCTCTGCACTCTCGATAATCTTTTTCGTCTTCTCTTCAGTCGTTGACGCCTTTTCCTTCAAGATATCGGTCTCTTCGCTCTCCTTTTCACCAGTTTCTTCCGGCTCGATCTCGGCTTCTACGTGGTCGTTGCTCTCGATCGAGGCTAGTTCTTGCTTGCCTTCGCTCGCAGCTTCGGTTTCTTCCTGTTCCAGCTCCGAGTTGTTCGCACCAGCCGACGATTCGTGGTTTATGCCTTTGCAGTTCTTTACGACGTTTAAACTGGCCTCTGGCTCAGTGGGTGTGTCTATCGAGACTGGCATGGTGACGTCGGACGGAGGGGACGGCATCTGCACAACCAGAGGCTGTTCAAACCTCGAAAACTGGTCTTACCTGCACGGAAAAAGTCAACTTGTGGAGCCACCTGGTCGACGGATGGAGGACTCGGGCTGTCGCGATCAGGCTGCAGCTCGGGATCGGTTGTTGAAACAGCTGGCAAAACGGCTCGACACCATTTTTTTGAGAGCGGGATATCTTTCAAAAATCGAAAAAAGGACAGGGCTATTTTGAAATAACCCAGACAAAGCGAATGAAATTAGGGATAAAATTCATTCGACCTGGTTGGATGTTTACACCAAGGTGGATTGTTCAAAAAGTCACTCAAAGATCCTGCCACCCAGCTGTGCATTTGCCGACTCTGTGAACGAGGGCCGATGTGGAGACGGCCAGCGCATGCCCATGACGAGGAGTGCCCTCCATCTCGTATTTGGCGTCAGCAGTTGCCAGAACGTTTCTTTCGCCATGGGTGTCGTTCCATTCCGTAGCGTCGACGCACTTTTCTCCGCCGCCAGAGGATATGTAGCCATTCCAATCCCAGTCAAGTTGATACCGTTTCAGGCATTCGTGCTTATCAACACTGCTCAAGCTGGACGTCCGCGCGCACAAGTGGTGTAGCGGCGTCGCATGAGACTGGTCGTTAGGATATCCACCTTCGCGTCCTGACGACTGCGTGTTCAATCTCATTGGAGATACCTGAAGAGCCGTTTGCATGGTACAATCGATACGCACCGTTGATTCACTGGCGGCGCTGAGTGCTTAAGAAGGAGTCGGTGGAGGCAAGAAAGATAATGAACTCTGATCAAGCGAGCGTCTGCTATCACTGATAGGCTATCCGTCTACTGCACCACATTTTTTTTTTTAATTTCCTTGGAATTTCACCCGTCGTACGACAAGCTGTCACTCAAGCAACGTCGACATGTCAGTATCTGGACGAATTTTCGTCTACAGACCTCGCACAAGCTACCAACGGCTACACTGACCCAATCGACATCTCCATGAACAACATGATGGCATCGTCTTGAGCACTAATCATACGGCAAACTCGGATAACAAAGATTCGTACCACTTCAATCATACGCTTCAACGGTGCTACAATATGGTGACACTAGTGCATACGGTTGTCCGGGCCGGACAAGCACCTGCTTGGAAGCCACATTTGACGCGGTGTATAGCACGCTAGGAGGTTCTGGTCCTTCTGGGAGCGTCCTACTGTTTAGACGGCTATGGTCGCTTTAAGAATAGCTTCAAGAATAGCGTATCGACATCTGAACGCACAGATCATTGCGAAGGTATGCGGGTCAGAAGGTGAAGGCGGTTTGTTGATCATGATGAAGTCCCGCGTCTGGAAGTTACAATTAGGACTCGGCGCCGATGCAGATCTTTTGCTATGATTTACTTTGCAATTTGCTTGGTCTCACCAGTAAAGTCAATCGGCATCGCAGCGATGTACCTCGACGACGACTGCTTCCACTCGAGTATCTCGTGCCGATCCGACAACCTCGACCCAAAACTCGTGGTAAAGCTGGCGAATGTGAAACCTGGTATGCACATGGGCGACCCCACGCGGTATGTACTGCAATGCTCGCTTGCCAATACGGATCATGAGTGGTCTGTAGAGCGCCGATTCTCGGAATTCCGGGATCTGCTGAAGGCACTTCGCGCATTCTTCTTGCGTCATGGAGGCGGTGCTCGCCCACTGTGCTTTGGCTGTACATGGTTCACTCAAACGTTGCGCAGCTACTGGTTACCAAGACGTCACCTCCTGTGCTCACGGTCGACTAACGTGATCAACCAGCGTCGCACCGAACTCCATCAGTTCACACTTATATTGGCTTCGCACACCTTTTCCGCAGTACCCAAGTGCATTTCCTGCGCTAAAACCATCTTCCCGATAGTGCGCGACTTCTTCGTTCGAGATGCCACGCTACCTGCTAATGTTAGCTTGCAGACATTGGAGCAGTCTCTCCAAGCCAAGAACTTTTCGCCTGTTTCGGATCCGAGCAAAAGCCAAATCGAGTTTCGTAAGGCCCGCTCAGTGTGGAAAGTCTTGCAGATGGAGAAGCCCGTGTATTCCAAACTCAGCGAGTACCAGCAACAACAAATGTGCCGGGAACAACAACGGGTTGCCATATCGCCCGTAGCGTCGGAGAATCGCTCTTAAAGCTTCCGACGTTGTCAGCTACGAGGTCTTGACTATATCGACTAACTTAAGCAGAAATGCACATTCTTATCACTAGCAGGGTTTTAATGAACTTGAAGCATCGTATAATGTACTTGCATGGAACTATCTCGTGTGAAGCAAAAAAAGAAGCCATGTACACAAAATTGTAGCCATGTGCACAAAAATAAGTGCACGACAAGCACAATACCGATAGTACCGGTATTTTAGCCAATCACGGATGGCTGTGTTCTAACGTTACCCGCCATCCCCATGGCTCACCCTCCGATCAAGAAGCAGGAGTTCCTGGGTGCCGTGACGCTCGTGTCTTTCTCATCTAATGGATCTCTACTCTACGTCGGCGTAGGTCCAACAGTATTCCTGTACGCCACTGCGACTGGTGAGCTTCTAAGCAAGCACGCCGTGTTGACGCGAGGCATTCTACACGGCTGCGATATCGTCGGACTTCCGGGCTCGAACGAATCATTTGCCGGCGCTTTCTTCGGCCAAAAACGTGTGTCATGTTTCCAGGACCTACCACAGGCTCCTGAAGCTGCTCGCGGGCTTGAGAAGCTTACCGCGCTGGGTATACCAAAAGTATTTTGCGACTGGGTGTTCGACGTGCAGCTACTGACAAATGAATTTGCGTCGGCGGAGAACAAAAAATTACTGGCTGCAGTTGGACTTGCGCACAATTTCGTGCAGATATGGGACCCGGTGCGCAACGATATTCTCCGCAGCGTGCAATGCGCCGAGCGCTGCATTTTGTATGCGTTGGTGTTCCATGGACGATCGTTTGACGACCTGGTAGTTGCTTCTGGTACAGTTTTTCAGCAGATTTTGCTATGGAATCCCATGGAAAACGGCGATAACGAGACGAACATTGCCATCGAGCCGGCTCAACGGCTGCATGCGCACGATGGCGTGCTCTTCAAGCTCACTTGGTCATCGGATGCTCGCTCATTGGCCTCTGTCTCGGACGATCGAACGGTGCAGCTGTGGTCGCACGATGGGGAGACCACAGTTGAACAACTTCACTTATCACGAACATTGACTCGTGCAGAACTGCTCGTGAGTGAATATTCCCCGGTGTTCCGAGCTTGGGGGCACTCAGCTCGCATTTGGGACGTGTCTTTCTGGAAACACGGTGTGGTCACGTCGAGTGAGGATGGCCTTTGCAAGCTTTGGGATCTGGATGGTAATTGTGTCGCCACGCTGCAAGGTCACATGGGGAAGCACGTTTGGCGTGTAGCTGTCCACCCGTTGCTAGAGATGATTGCCTCCGGAGGAGGTGATGGGGCTGTTAAGCTCTGGGACATCACACACCAGCTCATGTCTTCATCTAACGCGCCAGAAGCTGGCGACTTGTGTAGGACTGTTCGTGTCCCTATTGCCACAACGTCCACTGCACCAAAGAAGAAAAAGAGAACTCCATCGTCACACAGTGTGCGCAATATCGTACTCAGTGTTCATGATAATGCTGAGACGGCATTCGTAGCCTCCGAGCACGGTGATATTTTCCGTCTGGACCTGTCGTCGCTCACATCAGAACAATTTTTTACAGTTCCACCAATTGATGATGCTGTAGTTCGAGCACGAACTGGTGGTTTGACGACGTTCACAATGGATTCATCTGGGCGGTTCTTGCTGCTTGGTGACATAACGGGCCGCGTGTATATCGTTGAGGTAGCAACTGGCATTTTGCTGTACTCATGGACTACCCAAGCCAACGTACGAGTCATGAAGATTTGGTGGGACCAGAAAGACGCTCTTTTTATCAGTAGTGCAAGCGGAGTTCTCACTGAGTGGAAACCAAGCGTAGTAGAGGACGGTAAAAACTTGGCATCGCCCTCAATCAAGATGGAGATTGTTGCAACATTCAAGATCCCTGCCAAGAGCTCAGTATCCTCAATTCTGGTCGTTGACCGCTTGGCTACGACAAGAAATATCATTGCAGGTGACGGACATGGTGGCGTGTATGTGTTCCATCGCTCGCTCGTTTCGATGGAAAGCGCTGACAAGGCCAAGGCGGTGCAACCCCCTGCGTTAATACTGAAGAGTGTACATGGGCGTGAACTAGTGGCATCACTTCTGCTTTACGAAGACAGTAAAGACGCTAAGAACCATGAGACTGTTATGCTATCGGGAGGGCACGACGGATATATTTGCTCGTATGCGTTGGAAGCGGACGCAACTGGAGCGTTTACACCTACACAGGTGGGTCGTGAGTCCATCCGAGGAATTTCCACAGTCAAACAACTTTGGTGGAACAGAGCTCCATCTGCCCACGGGAAGACAAAACATGATCTTATGGTTTTCGGATTCCACGCGGCACAAGCTGTTCTGTACAACTTCTCCGCTCAATATCGCCTCTTTAACGTGGAATGCGGTGGTTGGCGCCGACCACACGCACTTTTCACTAGAGCGGGCGAGTATGACTCTGCGTTGCCTTCACACACGTTTGTGTTCACGCCGTCAGCAACTCAGAAGCAGCAGGTTGACATCAAGGTGCATTCGACTCTTCTAAATGAGCTCCACGATACCAAGACCTCGCCGCGTTTTTCCAAGTGTTCACTACACGATCATCACCATGGGCGCATGACGACATGCGTGGCTTTCCTCGGACGTGAGCGCTTGATTACCGCAGCAGAAGACAATAGCCTCATGCTACATCGCCGTCGCGATCACGGTAGAACAAGCTTGCGTTGGGGCAGTGTGGCTACTGGAATTGCCCATACGACTACGGTTCGGGCACTGACAACGTTCCGGCGTACTAACTCGGATGGCATCGAGGAACACGTTGTTCTCTCCGGAGGCGGTAAGCAGCGTTTAAATGTGTGGCTAGTTCGTGGAGAAAGCGATCTACTCCTTCATGTTTGTGGTCAGGAACGTGCCGAGGCGGCTCAAGACCATCGCATTCTCGGGCTCACTACGTTCGCGATGCCCACCGCTTCTGACGCGTATCGACTAGTGGCGGCGTGCAATTCCGAGGGCTCCACTCAGCTATTGCTGCTGGATGTAAACCACGGCAACCTTTTCAAGATTGGGGACTGTCACTTGGCCTCACGAAAGCCCATTCTGTCCTGCGTTGGCTTTCAGGAAGGTGACGATGATGTTGTGATGGCCGGGTTGGCTGTTGGCTCTACAGACGGCTTAGTGACGGTGTGGGACTTTAGCGATTTGCTGAAGGAGATTACATTGCTTCTTCGATCCGATGAAGATCTGGGTCAGTACAAGACGAAGCTTCAGAAAGTGATCGGTGAGTTGCAGCCTAGTGGTAACTACTTGGCGCACGATATGGGAGTGAACTGCATCAATCTCGTATCCTGCAAAAAGAGCAAGGAAGCAGGAAGCCTTGACGTGACTCTTATCAGCGGTGGAGACGACCAGAATTTGAATCTGCGTGAGTTGCAATTTCCAGCATGTCAAATGCTTACTGAAGCTCGGACAGTAAACGCCAGTGGATCAGCTATCAAAGCTGTTGCTTGTGTTGATGCAGAGACCATTTTTGCCGCTGGATATGACCAACGAGTGAGCAAGTGGGGCATTCGTCGCAACGAGAACGGCACCGAGCTGGAATGGCAAGGGGCTGCCTTCTCTGAATGCGCTGATATTGCCGATCTTGCTATTCGACAAATCGAGACTGGAACGGCTGACGAAGTTGTGGTCGTTGGTCAAGGTCTTCAAATGATGCAGTTCCAGCGCGAATAGAGACTCTTGTTTTTGAAACGCTACGTGGTCAGCAAAAAAAACGCAATTAGAGAGTGAATAGAATTGAATGCATTTTTCTGGGTTTTGTTCCTAGGAATATCCACATCGCCAACTCTAGTAGATTGGACCACACGGCAGCAAATACTTCTTGTCGTGCTTGTTATAGAGTCACGGCTTCATTTGCCATTAGCCCCTACTGAAGACGACAGAGCAACACCGCTGTCTCAACACGAATGCGCGACATTGGCTATCTACTATAGCGACGACGAAAAAAATCTTCAACCAAAATCCAGTCCCCACACGCCGATAGCACGTGCAGCCTATTGACCGAAAGTGTTCTCGCCACTGTAGGTGATGTAGAGAAAGCCGTCCACGTCTTTCTGTTCTTCGTAAATGTTCGACATCAAGGCAGCTGAACGAATAAAACCAAAGCAAATTCGAGTAAGTAACCAGCACACTAACTTAATGCAGTGAAAACCGTACCGGTGGGTGGGAGGACGTTGTTGATGAAGATGAAGATGGCCTTTTCGGGGCTCAGTTTGATGCGCTTTCTGATCACGTACACGAACTGACCGACTGTCAGGTCCGCAGGCACCAGGTACTTCTTCTTGTCAATATCCGGGATATCGCTTCGGTCTGCCTTCTCACAAATCACCTGCATCGAAAAATAAAATAAACCCGTTAGCTTATACTTGAAGTAAAACGTATTACTTCAATTCAGAGAGCCCACACACCGGAATTCGGTCGGGGTACTTGGATCTGATTCGCTGAGCCTCAGCTTGACGCTTCTCTGTAAAATCGGCGAAGCAGACGACGTCAGCAAATTCCAGAGCACATCGGAGTCTTCAAAAGCGACGTACCAAACGGGTGTTCCTTCTTGAATGAGCTCATCGTCTGTTTTTCTTCTCGTTGACGATGCTCCGAGTTTAGTTCGTCTGCACCAAGCCAAACGCAGCACACAGTTAGTCTCTTACCGGCCACGAAGGGTCGCTGCACGCTATTAGAACTCCAAATTGGTGTTGCAACCCCCGATAGACACAAAAATCACACGCAAATGCACGTCTGATTCCGAGTGGGCGAGCTAGCTCTACTCTCGCGCTCTCGTTCCGTTAAGCGACTCGAGCGGCGTGGGCTGCTGCTGCGCGACCGACACTCGAACGAACATACACGGAAGTGGCGAGCATGACGCCGCCACCGCCTCGGCATCGATCTGGTTACTTGCCTTCGACGTTTCTTCTCGGCTTCCCCTTTCTGTGTGAAGGGAGACCAAGTCGGAACAATCCAACTAAACCCACCCCTAGGTATAGAAAGCTAATCCATAGCGAATTAGCTCATAATTCGGACTTTGCCACTTGGATGATCGAAATATGTTAGGGTTTTGTATGGATAAGGTTTTCGAGAATTGTACCTAACTCTCTGTCGTGGTCAATAAAATGAGGACGAGCGACCATCACTCTGATTACTTTGAATCAGTGGAGAATCTGCGTCTGCGACGTGTGATAAGTAAGATTTCCAGTTTTAGGTGGAAGCTCTTCTGTTCTCGATATGGGCCTTCGCTGATTGGTAAGCTGATCACTAGGTTGCGGCAGGCTCATAGCAGTGCCTGCGGCTGCGTCGTCTCCTCCGTTGCGTACAACATGGCTGGGGTTGACACATTTGGTGTGGACGCACCCGTATCAACAATGCCGGCAGTGGCTCATGTGTGGTGATGGCATGGGGGGCGTGCTGCTGAAGTCTCGCTGGAGACGTGCGAGGCGAGACCTGAGCGTCGATATTTCGCATCCTATGTCGATTCGCGCATTGGGATCGTTTCAGTTGAGTTTTCGCATGCAGGCCCGCCGTCGTTACCATTACGCACCTCGATTTGAGTCCACTCCCGCTTCCAGCAAACCTGATTCGTTTCTCGGCGCGCAGTAAATTTAGCCAGCCCTCAGCGATCTCGTATTCATGTATAAATGCGAAACTGCCGTGGGTAGCCTGATTCGACACCTTGGCAGGACTTCATTGGTTTTCGTTGGGCAAAGGCGGTAGAATTTCCTTTGTCTGTAAGCGCGGGCGTCTTCAACGTCGTCGGCGATAACATGGCTTGGACTGATGTGGATTGACTTGCGTGTTGTGATGTGTACACCACATCAGTTTCTCAGCGCCACGCTCGGAGAATCGATTGGTTATAATGCTTGAAAAACCTCGAATTATACCTTTATAAAACCTCGGAGCAAAACGGCGGCTCCTTCTTTCTCTCTTGGAAACCCCGCAGCACAACCCAAGACGCTCAGAACGCGCGAGTCGCTTCGTTCTTCTTCTTTTGTGTAGGTGTTTTTGGATGCATGTAGCGCTGATTGCGGCGCAACAGTCCCCCCTCGTTCGATCCTTTCCCGATCCTCGCTCTACCTGGTGTGAACTGCCTGGTCGAAGTGGTTGAATCCTCGATCTTTCTTTGGAATCTAGGACCGACGGAAAGGGGAGAAGGAGGGAGCGCCATATAATGTTGCAGTAGCTCGTTAACTAACCGGATCACTGTTTCGTGCCGCAGATTGAGCGCCTTCACCCGCCGCTTTCTCTCCACGCTCGTTCAAGATGAACCCCGAATAGTATGTGCAGGATCTCATGCGTATAGCTGATTTATTGCTGCTGATTGAAGGCTGGATCGACTGACGCTCGTATCTTGTGTGCAGTGACTACCTCTTTAAGCTGCTGCTGATCGGTGACTCTGGCGTCGGCAAGTCGTGTCTGCTGCTTCGTTTCGCCGACGACACTTACACGGAGAGCTACATCTCGACCATTGGTGTGGACTTTGTAAGTGCCACCATACTTAGATCCAGGTTTTCATCAGGATTGCTGACATGATATCAACTGTTCTGCAGAAAATCCGTACGATCGAGCTGGACGGCAAGACCATCAAGCTCCAGATTGTACGTCTTTCAATAGACTTGTATCACTGCAGTTTTTTTTCTATTCAACTAACCGATGTACCAAATCACGTGTGTGTCTGTAGTGGGACACGGCCGGACAGGAGCGTTTCCGCACGATCACTAGCAGTTACTACCGCGGTGCACACGGCATTATTGTGGTGTACGACGTGACGGACCAGGAGTCATTCAACAATGTGAAACAGTGGCTGCATGAGATCGATAGGTACGTCCGACTTATCGAGAGAAGATCCAAGGAAAAGAGCTGAGTGATATTCCACTGATTTACAGATACGCCTGTGAGAATGTGAACAAGCTGCTGGTCGGTAACAAGAGCGATCTGACTGCCAAGCGCGTCGTGAGCACTGACGCCGCCAAGGAGTTCGCCGAAAGCCTGGGCATTGAATTCCTGGAGACCAGTGCAAAGAACGCTGCCAATGTCGAGAAGGCCTTCATGATGATGGCCGCCCAGATCAAGAAGCGCATGGCCAACGCTCCCGTGGCCCCCAAGGCCGGCGTTAAGCTGACGCCTGGTCAGCAGGTTCCGTCCAATGGCGGGTCGAAGTGCTGCTAAGCAGTGTCGTTTAGTCCTGTTAGCCTCGCGTCGCGCGCTAGTTGATTTTATACTGCAGTTTAGTCCTGGGAGTGTTGTGCTGCGAGGCTCGAGAGGCGTGGCACTCAGAGGTTCAGAACAGGATAACAATCAGGTGTGCGGGGCGCAGGTGAAAAGGCTGTTCGAGGACTCGGTGGACGTTTGGAAAGGAGAATTAGGTTTCGCTGCGCTCCTCTCCTAGGTCTTTCGTTCTCGTTTTTGGCTTGAAAGGAGCGACAACGAATGCTACTTTGGTTAGTTGTGACCCTATACATGGTATATTCTTTCTCTTTTTTACAAGTTGGTGTTGCGTTGCACTCTCTGTGTCGCTTGAAATGTTGAATTCCCCTGTGCTGCAAACTCGTTCATTTCGATGACGGAACTGATCGGGAAAATGCAGCACGGAGCGAGCCTGCAGCGTGGGAGTCCTTGTAGACTAGGAATTCAAATTCGGGCTGCCGCTTTTTATTCTTGATAGACTGCAGGATCCATCCTACGAACGACCATGTTTGAGATGAGAATAATAGCATCAGATATCTTGCGCAATGAAACGTACCCGGGCTTACGAACTTGACCTTGCCACTGCTCTGTTGTTGTTATTGTTTTTTTTTTTTTTCAGCAAGAAATGTTCATTATTAGATCTAGTAAAAGCCTCAACTCGCGGCTTACCTTCAGCACTTTATCTGCCTTGGACCCGTTCAAGTTGGAGCCGACCATGTGTGTGACGCGCGTGGAGGTCAGCGTTGAACTGCAACGCCAATCGTATGAGGAATGTCAAATCAAAATAACGGGCTGATAATTTCCTAGTGAACGTACGCAACGTTGCCACCGTGCTCCTGAACCAATTTCGCCAAGTAATATCTACGAAACAGCAAGATGGTGTTAAAGCGGATAGACAAGTTTGCATCACCTTCACATTCACGTACGAAGATACTTTGCCTGTACGTCCATTGAACACAATTCGGCAGCCCTACAACAACCAGAAGCCAAGTCAGCGGAATTGACTTGCACCGCAATATTTTGTAAAACCACACCTTGAAAATATCGGACTGAGCTGCACGGATCTTCGGTTCCTTTCTATCTGTAGTAATATACAGCAGACGCCAAGTGTGAGCACTGATGTTGCAGTTGCCCTTACAAATTCCAGTACACTTCACACTCACCATGCATCATGCTATCAGCCTGCGCACGGTTCTCGAGAAAAAACTGCTCGCATTTCTTCGCAGCCCAGCGTCTCCTGGTCTCCTCCTCTTCCTCTCGTTGTCGATCGCTCTTCACGCGGCGTTCATTGCGCGTCGTCGGCCCGCTTGGCCCATTCACGGCAAACATCGCGGCTCAAGTTGCTTTTACCGAAAGTGACAATTCAAATTTAGTCCGGTGGACGGGACTATTTTCACAAAAAAAACTGGCAAAATAGTCCCATTGAGTATCCGTGCCACATCAGCAATTTCGAAGATGGAGTTTGTTGGCGGCATGCACGGCTCGGCAGGCGGGCAATTCGCCGCCCCATACGGACAGCCTCACCCTATCCAACAACATCACCCTCAGCAGCAGAGGCTTCCCCGTCAAGCACCGGCGGCGAGCATCGACACGGAACACAACGACATGATTTACGATATTCAGCTGGACTACTATGGCAAGCGCTTGGTTACGTGTTCGTCCGACCGGACATTCCGTGTGTATGACGTATCGAGGGCCATTGTGACAAGTGGAGATAGTGAAGACCTCTCGGCAGCGAAGGACGGACAGGAACCACAACAGGAGCAGCAGCTTCACGCACTGCAGCACGTGGTGCCTCTGGCCGACGACTCGGCGGCCCCCATTCACCGCGTGGCCTGGGCGCACCCCAAATTTGGCGCTGTATTGGCTCTTGCTGCTCAGGATGGCAAGGTATACGTATACCGAGAGGAATTGGTCCAGCAGGGTGCTGGGGGAGTAGCCAATGTAACGGAATGGCGTCTCAAGCACGTGCACGAATTTCACTCACTGGCCGTACTGAGTGTGGCCTGGGCGCCATATGAGTACGGATTGTGTCTGGCTAGTGCATCAGCTGATGGACAAGTGTCGTTCCTTACTCGTATGCGTGAAGGATGGGTGGTGTCGTCGAGCTTCCGCAACTCTGAGGAGGGCATGGGCTGCACGTCTGTGAGCTGGGCGCCCTACAACTCTTTGGGCTCACAGGGGGCTCAAGGGCCTATCCAGCGCGTGGTTACTGGATCGTGTAACCACGCAGTTACTATCTGGCAGTTTATTACGACGCCACAAGAAGATGGCAATCCTGGCAACAGCTACTGGGAAGTTGTGAATACCCCGTTGTACGGACACAATGACTGGGTTCGCGATGTTGTTTGGGCACCGAATGTGGGTATCCCAGCTAACGTGATTGCATCAGGATCGGATGATCACACAGTTCGTGTCTGGACTCAAGATGAAGCTGATGGCGAATGGGCGTCCCATGTTGTGCATACTTTCCGTGCACCAGTGTACCGGTTAAGCTGGTCTCTTACGGGCTCCGTGCTCAGCGTCGCCGCTGGTGATGACGAGGTTACATTCTGGAAGCAGCAGAGCCATCATGAGTGGACGCAGATGTCTTCTGTAACTGACCAAGGTGCAGCTATAATGACGAGCGGCTAGATGCCTGATGTTACCGAGTGCTAGCCCTGTGCTTGGAGTTGCTATCTTCTAAAATTCTTTTGTGCATGTATCCATTCATCATCAGCACACCGCTTTATTAATGCGTGTCATCATCATACGAAACTCCTTAGATCTATTACGACGTATGATAAATGCGCATGGCGTAGGATGCAACGGCTAGCAGCTGAAAGTGTTCGCTGGCGCCATCCACCAGCCTCTTATCGGCCTCAGCAATGCGCAGGCAAATCTTGGCCTTCTGTACATCGTTGAGCTTGTCTAGTGCGAGAACGTCATCATTCAGCTGCCGCAAAATCGTAAGGACTGGGTATCCAGCCAGCAGGATATTCTCGATGTCTGTCTTCATCTTCTCAAAGCTGTTGGAAGCCACCGAGACCCAAAACTGCTGCAGCAGCTCTGGCGGAGCAAGACCAGCCACAGCAATGACATCATCTTGTGACAGCTCATCGTCCCCACAAAGCTGCTTGGCACTTTGAAGGTAGTTAATCGCCTTACGCAAGTCTCCATTCGAGCACTCGAGCAGCGACTCCAGCACCGAATCAGACACATTGACGTGCTCTTCGGAGGCGATGAAGCGCACACGAGATGCCATGGATATCTTTTCCAGTGGCGCAAAGCGGAATTTGGCACAACGCGAGGCCACAGGCTCAATGATGCGACTCACGTAGTTACAGATGAGGCAAAAGCGAGTGACCTTGGAATAATTCTCCATCATGCGACGCAGCGCAGATTGCGCGTCGCCCGTCATGGAATCGGCCTCATCGAGTACGATGATTTTAAAGGGCGGTAGGCCGCTGGCACTGCTGATGGCACCCTGGGCGAAGCTCTTGACCTTCTCGCGTACCACCTTGATACCTCGGTCATCCGACGCGTTCAGCTCCAGGAAGCGGCCGTTCTTGCGGAAGTCCGGGCCAAAGAGTTGGCGCCCCACAGCCACGATCGTGGACGTCTTGCCAGTACCTGGAGGTCCGTAGAACAGCAAGTGGGGTAGCTGTCCATTGGCGATCGACGTTTTGAGCGTGGCTACCACATGCTCCTGGTGCGAGATTTCGTCTACGTTCTTGGGGCGACTAGAGAGCACCAATTATCCTTAGAAACCTGCGCATATTAGGTGGAGATGCGTGGAAAGATGATGCACTTACTACTTCTCCACCCAGGGCAGCACGGGCGCCGGGAGGTTCGTCTTGGACGTCGACGACGAGCTGAACATGATCGCGGAATATGGTTCGTGCCAACAATAGTGTAACCTGAATGTAACCTCGATTTCTAAACCAAGAACTTGGTTTCTTGATGGCTAAGCATTTGTACCAGATGCAACACCGGTAAACCGATATTTTGTTTTGGTAAACTGCCAAGAATACCGGTTTACCGGTCTGACAGTATCTGACATAATGCTGAGGAAAATGACATTTCCCGGTAAAGCAGTATTTTTTTTTTTTACATATACCCGTAGATGCCGGCCAACCGGTTTCTGAAGCCATTAGGCAGTGTCACATGGTACAGTGTCACCGGAGCCTAAACGGTAACGGCTAGTCCTACAAGAGGCGTCACGAGGATCTGGTGGCGCTCTCAACCCACCTCTGCGGAGAGGTACTTGACGTGTGGTACGACCGGTGCGGGTGAAGACGGGTGTCGTTGTAGTGGAGCTCCGCTCGCATCTCCTGCAGAACCGGTCGCTGAGGAGATGATCGAGCCGATTGCAATGTCCATCGTCGAGGAGAAGACACCAGAGCTGGCTTCTCATTCTTCGTTGAGCCCACACGCCGCACTGCTGGCCCAGAGTTCGCATGACAGACAACCAAACGCGGATTCAACAGCTGAGAGACGTGTTCGGTTAAGTGCGAAACGGAGTGAAGAACAAAATAGGCGTTTCCGAACCGGAGAAGAACGGAGAGCCAGCCATTCGTCAATTGTCGCCTCGACACGCAAGTGTTCACGCGACCAAGAAGTTCAACGCTTAGGCGACCAAGAAGTTCAACGCTTAGGCGACCAAGAAGCTCAGAGCTTCCGAGAGGAAGCATCCATGCTGCCAGCGAGAAATTGTTTTAGCGATGAACGAAATCCTTGCGTCCAAGCCTTCACCTCCGGCCCGGAATCCACCACGCGCCTCCTACTCCAACCTCGGTGGACGGACAGTTCGTCTCGAGGCGCCTGACGAACTTGGGAAGGCCCTGTGTACGCGACGCTCGGACGCAATCCCGTACAGAAGGAGGCAGATCAGAGCCCCTTCTTCGACTTGGGCGATGGCATGAAGCGGCCTGCCTGGCAGTCCACTTTGACTTTTCTCCTGCCCGACCAGCGCCTCGCTGACGTTCCTGCGCCCATGCGTGAGCACATCGACGTGCTTTACTGGATCCCCTACTAGCGTCTGGCGGGACAATCTAGCGAACGAGCTCCTGGAGCATCCGCTGCTTTCTGTGTTTCGATACGCCCGATTTACACAGTACTTCGCGACCATTCCCCGGAATGATCAGAAGTTTGTACGGCGGACCTCGGAAGTCCACCTGTGCGGTCAGGTCGTCGCCTACGTGCGGCGTCTACTATTTCACTCGTGGACGACATCGGCCTCCTACAAGCGCCTGGCTCTAGCTGCATCTGTTTGGTGGTAATACACCCCCGACACGGAACCTGATGAACCGCATCACCCGCTCCACTCTCAAGACGACGTGGACCTAATGCCATACGACGAACTACCGGACCTGCACGCGCCGGATACGCAACGCCCTATTGGCCAGCAGCCTCCTCAGGGTGGCGCTCGGAACACTGCTGCAAGCCAGGCTCAGTCGGCGCTGACCTCTCGAGCCAGACGCTCCATCTCGCCCTGCTCCAGGAGCAACGGGCAACGAATTTGGCGCTTCAATCCCAATTGACGTCGATGTCGACGGCCATTGCCTCTCTTCAGCGTCAGACACTGCCGACAACCGCCCAGGGACCTGGATCCCGTGACCCGGCGGCCTCAGAGGTCGTCCCCCGGGAACCGGGACCCGCGGGTCAATTTCAATGGTCCCCTTCGTGTGAGATTGATCAGCCACGATCCCCCAGGGGGTATTTGCGCAGCCATGGGTATGTGAGCTCCGAGTTCGAACGGCAGGGTCGATCTGGTGAACGAGGCGGGCCACGGCTGCACCCCCGTCACTCTCGAACGCAACGGCGCCACAGTCAGTCTCGCTCCCTGCGCCAGGCGAGTCACGCCCGATCCCGCAGCCCGCGTGCTCATACGAGTGTGTATAGGCAACACTCCCGATCACGGTCGCGTTTACGATCCCAGCCCCGTCGGCGCCGCTCCCGCTCCGCCAGGCGGAGCCACAGCCAGCGTTGACACCGTTCACGACCCCCCCCCCCCCGACCGTACGGCCCAGGGCCATCTCCCTACCGGCAACAACCTTTTTCAGCCTACCTCAAGTGACCTGGCCGTTCACATCGCGGCTCGAGTTGGACCAAGACAGCCGGTTGGCTTGGCAGGTACGGATGACTTCTTTCGATTTTCTAACATGTGCCCCCACGATAAAGTCTGCTCCATCCTCCGGCGCGAACGATTACGAGGCCGTTACCGGGCTTCCAAAATCACCGCGAAGATGCTGTTTTCGGTGGATTTCTTCAGTAGGCCGTTCGACCACTTTCTGTCGTCTGACGACTCCGGCGGCTTCCGCCACGAGAGGACTGTGTTCCGCGACGACGCTCAATGGGGCGGGCCTGAGCCTGCCCCGAGCACTACCATCCGTAGCGCGGGACAACTGCACCAGGTGCTTTACGTGCTCCAGGACGCAGCGTCCTTGTGGTACCCGGAGTGCCTCGCGGCCGTCTTCCGTGTCATCCATGGTGATACCGTTCAGAACGTTCCCACCACGGCCCCAACCCTGCTACTCACGGCGATGTGTAACCTGTACCAAGCCGTGTTCTATGAGATTTACGATGATATCCGTTATGGCGTGGATCTGAGGGATTTAAGCACCCGGGCTGCACGCATATTGCACCGGACTTTCCAGGCGTACCAACAGTACGTGGTGTGGTGGAGTGGGATTCGCAAAATCGCG